AGAAGAATGTCTTGGGTATTTTGATTGGTATCACATTGAATCTATAAATTGCTTTTGGGAGAATAGACACTTTGATGATATTGATTCTTCCAATCCATGAACATGGACAATTTTTCCATTTTTGGTATCCTCTTCTATTTCTTTCTTTAATGTTCTGTAATTCTCATCGTAGAGATCTTTGACATCCTTGGTTAAGTTTATCCCAAAGTATTTGATTGTTTTTGTAGCTATTGTGAATGGGATTGATCTTAGAAGTTCTTTCTCAGCCTTGGTATTGTCTGTGTATACAAAGGCTGTTGTTCTTTGTGTATTGATTTTATACCCTGCTAATTTAACAAACTCTTCTATGAGTTCCAATAGTCTCTTGGTGGAATCTTTTGGATCCCATATATAATCATGTCATCTGCAAATAGGGATAGTTTGACTTCCTCTTTCCCAATTTGAATCACTTTGATTTCTTTTTCTTGCCTAATGGTTCTGGCTAAAACTTCCAGGAATATATTGAATAGCAATGGTGAGAGTGGGCACCCTCAGTGGGAATGCTTCCAACTTTTTCCCATTCAATAGGATGCTGGCCATGAGTTTGTCATAAATTGCCTTGATTGTGTTGAAGAATGTTTCTTCTATACCCAATTTGCTTAGAGTTTTCATTATGAAAGGGTGTTGTATTTTATCAAATGCTTTCTCTGCATCTATTGAGATAATCATATGGGTTTTGTTCTTCAGTTCGTTAATGTCAATTGTCACAGTGATTGATTTGCAAATGTTGAAACCATCCTTGCATACCAAGGATAAATCCCACTTGGTCCGGGTGAATGATCTTTCTGATGTGTTGTTGGATTTGATTGGCTAGAATTTTGTTGAGGATTTTTGCATCTATGTTCATCAGGGAAATTGATCTATAGTTCTCTTTCTCTGATGCATCTTTTTTGGGTTTAGGAATTAAGGTAATGCTGGCTTCACAGAAAGAATTTGGGAAGGTTCTCTCTCTCTTAATTGTTTTGAATAACTTGAGGAGAATTGGAGTTAGTTCTTCTGTAAATGTCTGGTAGAATTCAGCAGTGAAGCCATCTGGTCCTGGGCTTTTCTTTGTTGGGAAGGTCTTTATTACTGATTCAATTTCCATCTTGGTAATTGGTCTTTCAGCTTTTCTGTCTCCATGGCTCAATTTTTGTAGGTTGTATGTGTCCAGGAATCTATCCATTTCTTCTAGGTTTCCCAGTTTGTTGGCATACAGTTCTTTGTAGTAATTTCTGATGATTATTTTTTATTTCTGTGGTGTCTGTTTTTATATTTCCTTTTTATCTCTAATTTTATTGATCTGGGTCTTCTCTCTCCTTTTTTTTGTTAGTTGGGCCAATGGTGTGTCAATTTTGTTTATTTTGTCAAAAAACCAGCTCTTCATTTTGCTGATATTTTGTAATTTTTTTTGGATTCAATTCTGTTGATTTCTTCTCTAATTTTAATTATTTCTTTTCTCCTACTAGTTTTGGGTTTGGTTTGCTGTTGTTTTTCTAGATCCTTGAGGTGCACTGATAGCTCATTGATTTGGTGCCTTTCCAGTTTCTTGATGTAGGCACCAATTGCTATAAACATTCCTCTTAACGTTGCTTTAACTCTATCCCATAAATTTTGATATGTTGTATTGTCTTCTTCATTTGTTCCCAGAAATGTTTTGATTTCTTTTTTGATTTCTTCTATGACCCACTGTTCATTCAGGAGCATGTTGTTCAGTTTCCATATATTTGCATATGTTCTAGGGATTCCTGAGTTGCTGATTTTCAGCTTCATCGCATAGTGGTCCAAGAAGATGTATGGTGTGATTTTGATATTTTTGAATTTTCTGAGGCTCGCTTTATGACCTAACATGTGGTCAATCCTATAGAAAGTTCCATGCACTTGTGAGAATAATGTGTATTCTGTGACTGTAGGGTGGAAGGCTCTGTAGATATGTTAGGTCCATTTGGTCTATAGTGTCAATTAACTCTGCTATTGCCTTGCTGATTTTCTGTTTGGTTGATCTGTCCATTGCTGAAAGTGGGGTATGGAAGTCCCCCATTACTACTGTATTTGAGTCTTTATCTCCCTTTAGATCCATTAACATTTTGTTTAGATAGCCAGGTGCCCTGAAATTAGATGCATGTATATTTATAATAGTCACATCTTCCTGTTGAATTGATCCTTTAATCATTAGATAGTGTCCTCCTTTCTCTCTTTTAATAGTTTTTGTGCTAAAGTCTATTTTGTCTGATATTAGGATGGCAACACCAGCTCTTTTTTGGTTTCTATTAGCATGGAATGTCTTTTTCCATCCTTTCACTTTCAGTCTGTGTGCATCTTTGTTGGTGAGATATGTTTCTTGTAGGCAGCAAATAGGTGGGTTTTCTTTTTCAATCCATTCAGTCAGTCTGTGTCCTTTAACTTGAGAGTTGAGACCATTTATATTCAGGGGGACTATTGGTAAGTACCGAATTTGCTCTACCATATTTATGTTAATAGTCCTAATTTTTTACTTTAGGTTTCCTTTGTACTTGTACTGGGTCATTTTCTGTGTTCATCTTCTTTTGTAGTGATGACCATGTTTCTGTGTTTCTGTGTGTGGCACACCCTTGAGTATCTCTTATAGATCTGAGCTCTCAGTTTCTGTTTGTTGTGGAAGATCTTTTTTCCTCCTTTATTCGTAAGTGGGTATTCTGGGTTGACAGATTTTTTTTTTCCTCTTAGGACTTAGAATATATCTTGCCATTCTCTCCTTGCTTGTAGGGTTTCTGATGAGAAGTCTGCAGTGAGTCTAACTGGGGTTCCTCTGAATGTGATCTGGCATTTCTCTTGTGCACATTTTAAGATCTTTCTTTATGTTTTACTGTGAAGAGTTTTACTACAATGTGTCATGGTGAAGATCTCTTCTGGTCATGCCTATTGGGAATTCTGTGTACTTCCTGTGTTTGGATGTCTCTTTCTTTCTCCAGGTTGGGGAAGTTTTCTGTTATTATTTCATTAAGAAGGTCTTCTAATCCTTTCTCTCTTTCCACAACTCCTGGAACTCCTAGGATCTGTATGTTGGGTTGTTTGATAGTATCTTGTACATCTCCAACAGTGTTTTTTAGTTTTCTAATTTCTTCCTCCCCCCCCCCCCCTTTTTTTTTTTTGGTCTGACTGTAATATTTCCAGAAATTTGTCTTCTAGTTCTCATATTGTTTCTTTTGTCTCATTTTTTTGTTGTTAAGGCTTTCCACTGCATTTTTTATTTGAATTCTTCATTTCTGGTACTTCATTCTGACTTCTCTTTAATATCTCAGTTTCTTGGGAAAACTTCTCATTTAGATTGTGAATTTGCTTCTGATTGCTTCTAAGTAATCTGACAATTTTTCTGAATTCATTTCTGGCATGTCTGCAATCTCTTCATCTTCCCCTTCTAATATGGAAGCGTTGCAGTGTTCCTTTGGGGGCTCACAGTGTCTTCCTTATTCTTATTTAGAGTTTTTCCTTTTTTGGGGGGATTTGTGTATTTTTTCTTTTTTTGTCTGGTTGCTTTTCTCTTTAATTTGTATTTTTGTGATTTAGTGGGACATCTATACTTTCAGTGAGTTCCAAGAGGTGTGTGCTGGATGTGGCCTGGGTGCTCTGTTCAGCATTCCAGGGTGGAGCAGACATCCAAGGTAAGGCCCCGTGGGCCTTTGTAGCTTTCCTCTGGCTTTTTGGTTAGAGGAGGTTGTTCACTTCTGTTGGTGTGCCCCGCCCTTTTCCTCACAGTCCCAGGATGCCTGTTGTTCGTCTCTGGTGTGTTCAGGGTTATATTGCCCTGCTTAATGAACTGTACCTCTAATCTATGGAGATTTTCTTGTGGTGAGGATTCCCCTGTTAGGAGCTGCTCTGTGTCTGTGCATTGCCAGTGGAAGCACAGAGCCCGTCTACTGGAGCCTGGCTCACTTCTCAATCATGGTAGAGGCAGGTGTGAGCGCTGGTGCACAGAACCCCACCTACTGGAGCCTGGCTCTCTTCTCAGTGGTGGATTGAGTGGGCTCGAGTTTTCGATATTCAGGACTTCTCCTTTTTGTACAGCTTGCGTGGTGGGGAATAGGTTTCTATGTGATGTTGCAGTCCTCATTCCTGTGTAGGGGGTGTGGTGAGGTGGCTCCTGCTACTGATGGGCATGTGTGTGGGGGTGGGGGAGGGCAAAGTCGGCAGTCCCCTGCTTACATTAGAAAATATAAACAAACAAGATGGCTTCTCCCAGCTGGCTGCAGGTCCAGGCTGGGGGAAGGAGAGAGGTGGCAGGAGGATGCCTGACCTCTCAATTTGTCCCTCTATACCTTCTCTTTTTCCCGCATGGAACTTCAAAAGCAGTTCGCCAAGCTTTCCCTCCCGCTGCTATTCGCAGCTCCGTGGACCCACGATTTCCCGTCTCTCCTGGGTCACTGGGGGCTGCCGACCTCCCTGGTCAGAGCCTCTGATGCTTCCCTTTCTTACTTGCTTTTTCGGCGTGGACCTGCCCGGTCTCTGTTGCTCCCCTGGGCTTCCCGTCACGAATTTCCCGTGGCTCTATCTCTGGCCTGTATCTTCTCTCCTTCTTAACTCTCTATTTTGGCCCGTGTCACTCGGATTGTCCTGTTGCTATACCCCCATCTCGGCCCCCTCCTGGCCAGCTCTGAGCTGCAAGCTTTCTCCTCCTGACCTTCTTCACCTTGACCTCTGCCCCCTCCCTCCTGGCCAGGAACGTCATTGCCACCTGTGCTCCCTGAATATTTGGAGCTTTGAGCAGTGAGAGCCAGAGCAGGGGCCGCGGTTGGGGAGCAAGCCTTTGCCTCCTTCCTGAGCTGCTCCCTGACCTCTGACCTCAGCTGTCCCCGAAACGGGCACGGGCCAGGGTACGAGACGTGTGCTCTTCTTGGAAAGTGTGTCTGCGGTTAGGCGGCCCTGACTTCACATGAAAAGCTTAAAGAAACAAAACACTGTCCCCTGGAGGTTTTCCGAGCCACCTCTCGCTGCTCCCCACCTACCTCCTTCAGGTGCTGTGGCAGAGCGTTCCCGGGGGAGAAGGTGTACTTGGTCTTCTTGTAGATGCACCACAGCAAGGCGAAGCAGGCCAACAGCACCAGGAAGACCACAAAGACCGAGGCGATGAGGATGACGGCCACCATCCAGGAGGGGGTGGTGTCTGGTGGGGACAATGGGGGTGTTATCGCCTTGCCACATACTGGAAAGGAGCTCTGTGATCTCAAGGCCACTCTGTCACCATCCCATGGCGGACCCTGGACACAGGCCATTTGTTCATCTTGCAACGGTTCTCAGAAACGCAGCAGCTGGGACGAGGGCCCAGGGTTTGCACTGAGGGTTGCCCCCTGCCTATTTGCTTCATGTTTGATTCCTGGCACTGCTGATGATGCCCATGAGAAGAGTAAGAACAAGGAGCCAGTGTTGTGGTGCAGCAGGTGCCCATGTGAGCACTGGTTCGAGTCCCAGCTGCTCCACTTCTGATGCAGCTCCCTGCTGATGTGCCTGGGAAAGCAGCAGATGATAACCCAAGTGCTTGGGCCCCTGCACCCACGTGGGAGACCCGGAAGGAGTTCCAGGCTCCTTGGCCCTCTGGGGAGTGCACCAGTGGATGGAAGCTCTCTCTCTCCCCACCCTTCCAACTCTGTAACCCTGCCTTTCAAATAAATTAATTAATTTTAAAAAATAACAAGCAAGAGTCTACCCACTTTGCCTGCTTTCAGGGCAGCAACGAGCCCCTTGTTCTGAATAATGCTCTTATGCCTTGAGACAGCAAATGGACTCCTTGGGCCCCTGAACCCGAGTGAAACCCGGGCACCGGAGCACCGTGAGGGCTCTCGGGGTAAACGACCCCAGCCAAGCCCTCGCACCGGCAGACGTCAGGGTGGTCAAGGCTTCGGCCTGGCTTCTAGCAGCTGCAGGCCCCATCCTCCCTTGAATTTCTGGCTGGAAAAACTCAAGGCTTCTCTAAGAACGTCCATTTCTCAGAACCTTTCTTTCTGAGAGTGTTTCCTTAAAAAAAAAAAAAAAAAAAGCTTAACCCATGAATCCTCCTCTGTTCCTCCACATACAGCCCTTCAGTACTCACGGGAAACCTGGATTCTCTCTTAATCCCATTTGCCATGAGCTTGCTGAAAACTCCCGCCTCCCGTGTGTCTCTGGCAATGCAGGAGTGTCTTCCTCCAAGCCCCGAGAGAGCCATCCCTTGGGAACCATCAGGGAGCTCGGGGCCCCCCTCCGCAGTCTCTGTGGGACCGTGGAAGCCTGGCTTTGATGACCCCAGTCGGCAAACACGGAGGGCCCGATGGCAAGGGGACTGACCAGCCCTCCAACCTCTTTCTGTAATTGCTTCACTCCCTTTCAAATGCGAGGTCCCCTCTGTGTCAATGGAGCTCAGAGCTTTCCCCTACCACAGCCGCGACTGAATAAACCCTGTTTTTATTGCTTTAACTAATATACTGCTTTGTTTGCCTCTGGTGGCATCTGGGATGTCACCTTGGTCACCCGTGCTCCCAGCACCAGACCCCTGCCCCAGCTCCCCTGGCCACCTCCCCCCACCCAACCTCTGCCAGTACAAAGCACCATCGTGACACAGCTCAGCACACTGAGTGCTGAGAAGGCAAGAGAATGAACCTCGATCATTAACCCCGAGTCATCCTTGTCTTCAAGATTTATTTATTTGAAAGGCAGAGAGAGAGAGAGAGAGAGAGAGAGAGAGAGAAGGGATCTTCCATGCACTGATGCACTCCCCAAATGGCTGCAATGGCTGGGGCTAGGACAGGCTGGAGCCAGGAGCTCCATCCAGGTCTCCCGCATGGTGGCAGGGGTCCAGATGTTTGGGCCATCTTCCACTCTTTTCTCAGGCACATTAGCAGGGAGCTGGATCCAAAGCAGAGCAACCAGGACTCGAACCAGCGCCCAAATGGGATGCTTGCACTGCAGATGGCAGCTTCACCCACTGTACCACAGTGCTGAGAGCAATGCTCCCAAGAGCAAGTCAAATTAAAAGGATTCTTTGTGGGGGAAGTGGCAGGTGCCACTTATACAAGGCCGATCAAAGAACCCTGAACGCCTGGTCCTGGAGCCACATCAGGTGCAGTCACTTGCTGGCATCTCAGGCTTTGCCTGAACGCGAGCTTCACAGAAGATGCTCCTTAAACATCTGATGGGTGGGTGTGGCCCTGGACAGGGAGAAGGGGAGAGGGACCTGGTGCATCTCCCGCCCGCTTCCCCCTCTCCCTTGTCCTCTTGTGGTTCCGTTCTCCATGGCATTGACCCCAAATCTTTCCAGAACATATCCTCGCTGGCTTAAGGACACTTATCCCAGTTCCCCATGAATTCCTCTTTCTTGTACTAGAACCAGAAGATGGTTCCTTCTTGCCCAGGTGTTGGGCACGTTCAACCCAAACATGTACCTCTTGCTGTATGCAGGGACACGTGGTGAGGAAGCTGGCTGGTGTGGCCCCCAGGCTATGCCCCGGCTGACAGTGTGAGGTCTGCCTAGACGCTCCTACCCACACATCCACCTGCCATTCCTATTCCAGTAGTTCTCTGATTTGGCATGAGTCAGAGCCACCCAGAGGCTCTCTGGGACCTGGGTCTCCTCGTGTTCGGAGCAGTGGCACCCCAGCCTCTTAGACAAGGGCGCACCTGGTGGGTGGTGACAAGATTGAGGCATGCCTTTATCACTCACCCAAAGAGAAAGAGAAAGAAGAGCTGTATTGACCGGATGAATGGGGAGATCTGGAAAAGTCTAACAAGGAACAGCAGCCCTGGGCCCCTCCAGCGTGATTCAGATCCACCGACCCCACTGCCAGGCAGACAACCTGCCTCTGTCGTATGCACGGTGACTCAGTTTACCTCTGGCATGGATCTGTAGGTGATCAGGTCCAGGAAACACAGCCTGGGCGTGGACTGCTCTGTGCTCTGCCTTGACTCTGTCCTTGGCTAGCTGAGTGTCTGGGAAGTTACTTAACCTCTCTGCACCTTCACTTCTGGTCTGTGGAAAGGGAGAAGGGCCTTCTAAAGTTCTCAGAAAACCTGTTGTGCAATTTAGATGAAATCAGTATGTTTAAAAAATTCTATAAATGGCATTTGACAAAAGCAGGTTTTCAGCGGATTATGATTTTTCCTTTTCTTTTGTGAAATACTTGCATTTTGTCAGTTGGTGGTTGATGATTTACACTCACAGACTAGCTGCAATATTTTCCTTCCGGATCAAACCGTATGTTTTGTGTCATTTTAGGTCACGGCAGGCCCGACCACGTTCCTGCTTCCACGGTCTGAGCTTGCTGAACCAGCTGCCTTCTCCTAAGAGGCCCATGGCTGTCCACAACACGAGGGCCACCAGGGTCTCACTGACCATGCAACCGTGCTGCACCTGCACAGAGTGCCCGGCCCATCGGTGCCGTCTTCTCTCTTTCTCCCCTCCCCTTCTTCCCTCTGTTTCTTCTAAGAAACACCAGGGTGTGGGGCTGGCGCTGTGGCGTAGTGGGTAAAGCTGCTGCCTATAGTGCCGACATCCCATGTAGGTGCCAGTTTGAGTCCTGGCTGCTCCATTTCTGATCCAGCTCCCTGCTGTGGCCTGGGAAAGCAGTAGAAGATGGCCCAAGTCCCTGGGCCCCTGCACCCACATGGGAGACCCGGGGGACGCTCCTGGCTCCTGGCTTTGGATCTACGCAGCTCCGGTCATTGTAGCCAATTGGGGAGTGAACTAGTGGCTAGAAGACCTCTCTCTTGCTCGCTCGCTTGCTCTCTGTGTAACTTTCAAATAAATAAATAAATCTTAAAAAACAAACAAACATACACCAGTGTGTGCTGGCGCTGTGGCATTGTGGATAAAGCCCCCGCCTGCAATGCCAGCATCCATATGGGCACCGGTTCAAGTCCTGGCTGCTCTACTTCCGATCCAGCTCTCTGCTCTGGCCTGGGAAAGCAGCAGAGCTGGCCCAAGTGCTTGGGCCCCTGCATTCACATGGAAGACCCAGAAGAAGCTCCTTGGGAAGTAAAGCAGTGGATGTAAGATCTCTCTCTCTCTGTGTCCATCTGTTACTCTGCTTTTCAACTAAACAAATAAATCTTTTAAAAAAAGAAAAACAAGCCAGCGCCGCGGCTCACTAGGCTAATCCTCTGCCTTGCGGCGCTGGCACACTGGGTTCTAGTCCCGGTCGGGGTGCCAGATTCTGTCCCGGCTGCCCCTCTTCCAGGCCAGCTCTCTGCTGTGGCCAGGGAGTGCAGTGGAGGATGGCCCAAGTGCTTGGGCCCTGCACCCCATGGGAGACCAGGAGAAGTACCTGGCACCTGCCATTGGATCAGCGCGGTGCACCAGCCGCAGCGCGCCGGCCGTGGTGGCCATTTGGAGGGTGAACCAACGGCAAAGGAAGACCTTTCTCTCTGTCTCTCTCTGTTCACTCTGCCTGTCAAAAAAAAAAAAAAAAAAAAAAAAAAAAACCAGGCTGGAGGCCCTGTACTGGATACTGTGGGTGCCACTAGAGAGGTCTGCATCTGATGAGGGGCACTGAATCAAGACATACTGAAGGCACTGGTGAGGCTTCTAGACTCTTCCTTCCCATCTCCTGTCTTCAGGGCTGGAGAGGTGCAATCTGCCAGGGACAGACGTGGCGGCAGGGGAGGGCAGGGCAGCCCAGAGAAGGTAGGCACCTGGCGGCAGACCTCAGCTCATCAGATGTCCCATCCACCCCTTTGGTCTAAGGGAGGGTGAACTGCTCAGATGATGATGGCCTCCTTCATCAGCATGAAGTAGGGCAACCAGGGCTGGGAGGCCATGTGTGGGGTGCAGATCTTTTTTTTTTTTTTTTTTTTTGAATATTTACTTATTTGAAAGGCAGAGAGAAACAGGGAGAGAGAATCTTCTAGAAGCTTCTACCCACTGATTGGCTCCCCAGTTGGCTGCAATAGCCAGGGCCGGGCCAGGCTGAGGCCAGGAGCCAGGAACTTCATCCAGGTCTCCCACGTGGAAAGCAGGGGCTAAGTACTTGGGCCATTCTCCTCTGCCTTCCCAGGCGCATTAGCAGGAAGCCGGATCAGAATCAGAGCAGCCAGCACTCCAGTATGGGATGCCAGCATTGCACGTGGTGGCTTACGCTGCCCAGACTTCCTGACCTGGTGGAGGTGGACCCGCGTGCTCCCATGGCCACAGGCCTCCCAGCTGGGTGGAGGTGGACCCACGTGCTCCACGGCCACAGGCCTCCCAGCCCTGACGCTCAGCGGCTGGGCGTCCACGAAGCTGCGGGCAATGCTCGGAGATGCAGAACGCAGGCTGTGCGCCGGCCGACTCACCGTCAGAGCTGGTCTGCTCACAGACGGGCTCACTCCATTCTCCAGTTCTGTTGCGATCCAGGAGAAAGCCTTGCACTTGAACGCAGTAAGTGGTCCAGGGCTCCAGGTTCCTGAGGACCTCAAAGTCATACTGAGGGGTGACCTGAAACTGGTAAGGGAACAAGAATGCCCTCAGTGACTGGGTGCTGTCCTTTCCCTCTGTTTCCTACCCCCACCAGTTATAATCCTGGCTTCCGACTTAGACTAGGGAAGAGTAGGGGGTGGGTGCTCCTCCTGGCTCATTCCAGGGCACCTGACCCCTGTCTAAGGGAAACACAAGGATCAACCATGATGCTGACAATACCATCTTATTTCCTGAATTTTCCATCTTAAAGACACACAAACTACCCTCCTCCCTTTTTATAAAAAAAAGCTAAATCCATCTTAATAGGTTGAGCAGTGTCCGATAAGAACCCCTATGTAGGAGCTGGGACCTGGAGTACTTGTGAATGTGAGCTTATTTGGGGGTGGGGTCTTTACTGTTAGGGTGGGTCCCTAATCCAGTATGACTGGTGTCCCTACAAAAGGGAGAGATGTACGCCCAGTCACACCCAGAGGGGAAGGCCGGGTGGAGATAAAGGCAGAGGTCAAGGTGACGATGCTGTTATGAGCCAAGGGAGGCCAAAGACTCAGCTACGAGCAGAAGCTGGAGAGAGGCCTGTTCCCTGGAGCTTTGAGAGACAGGCCTTGCAGACACCTTGGTCTTGGATGGCCAGCCTCCAGGACAGTCAGACGAGAAACACCTGTTGTTTGAACCACCTCATAAGCAGTATCTTGTTATTGCAGCCCAAGCTACTGACACAGCGGTTGTGTACAGCGAGACCCTGGGGGCTGGCATCCCTATTCCTCGTGCTTTAACCTGCATTTGAGATACCACTTGATGACGTATTTCCAAATGCAAGAAAGCAGAATAGTTCCTGGCAACATAAAGGGAGTTAAAAGGGAACCCAGAGTAAGCAGAGACTCTAGGTCCCGTCATTGGCTGTGTGCCTTCTGGGCCTGGGGTTGTGTGTGTGTTCCCTTTCTGTATGAGAAGCTGAGCTCTTGCCCATCGATTACACCTCTACACACGGTGAGTGTGGCCTAACTTCTAACAAGTCAGTTAGAAAGAAACAAGCCAACAAAAACACGCCACACCCGGCTCTCGTTTCTAGAAGTCCAACGCCTCTAAAAGCTTACAAGGAATTTTTTTTTTCACAGACTAAAGTCAGGAGCTGACCCGAATGGAGCAGGCAGGCAGGGAGGCAGGCGGGGCCGGCATGAAGGGGCTTCCCTGGGTCCCTGGGCAGGGTTTTCCTGTCCTCTTGCTTCTGGGCAGCTCCTAGTTTTATCTTGCAAAAGCCTTCCTGCTGTCACTTTAAGGATCTTTTCTGGTAGCAGCTGAGGAATGCCTGCTTTCCAGAGGGACCCGCCTGACAGTGGAGGCATGTGGGAGGAAGGGTCCAGGGCCTGCCCCCACCAGCCTGTGGTCACACAAAGGCTTCCCCGCAGCGGGTGGAGCGAGAGGGCCAGCGAGCCGCCCCAGAACTGTGCGGTGGGGGAGCTCCAGATAAGAGACTACATGACTACGGAGTTGGGTTCCCACAGGTGCAGGAGGCGCTCAGTCCTGGTGGCTGTGCAACACCCTTAACTGGAGTGACCTGGCCTTGACCGGCAGCCCAGGGCGTAGCTGAGACACCTGCGTTTGAGTTGGTGCTGCTTTCCAGGCATTTACGTCCTGGGGTCCTGACGATCAGCAAAACTGAGTGTTGTGCGAGGAAGGCAGACTTCCTGTACGCTGTGGTCTGAACGTGTGCGACCCCCTACTCATAGGTTGGAACTTGACCCCAACGTGATAGTATGAAGAGGCGGGGCCTTTAGGGGGTCATACGGGAGAGCCTGCGTGAATGGGGGTGTAGTGCTCTTACAGAAGGGGTGGGAGGGGGCTGCTGCTTCTTTTTGCCCTTGGCCTTCTGCTGTTTCGGAAGCGGAGTCATCCTACACCACCCCTGAACCTGGCCGTTAACTTGATCGTGGACTTCTCTCCTCCACTACTGTGAGGAGTGCAGTGCTACTGTTTATAAACTCCTTCAAACGTGGTGCATTCTGCCAAAGCAGCAGGAATGGAGGAAGGCATTGCATCATTTAATGCAGTGTTTTTTGAGGAAAAAAAGTTAGCTTGAGATTTTCTTGCAGTATACAGTGTGCATATATATACATGTAATGACATCATTCCTAAAATAAACATAGGTGATTCCTTTCTCCCAAACCCTTGGGAATTAATAAAAATCAACATTTAACATGCAGGTAGCATGTATGTAACACAGCTTCCATAACATATATGTACGGCACTTTAGGACCATGAATGCATTCAGTTTAGAAGCATTAAAGTCTAAGAGTAGAACTTGATCAGGGATGAGTGCCAACAGCCTTAAGACGGCTACTTCAGGGGACAGGAACCTCACGTGTTAACCACACACCCTGTTCCAGGCAATGGGACAAGTTTTCCATTTTGTCATTGCTTTGAAGTAAGTTTCCTTCCTCATTTTGTTAATGTGTCCATTTTGCAGGTTAGGGAAGTGACCAGAGTCCCATGGTGGCGGAACAATACTCCACTCAGGTCTTTTGATTGCAAGTCTATAGTTTCAAAGGAATTATCTCCTTTAACAGAGGATTAGAGAAACCACAGGGAAGACTAAGGTTAGAATGGTGATGACACTGCTGGCCCCAGATCCAGCAGTGGGGCAGCGCCCATGCACCTAACTAACCTGCTGCATGCATGGGTCTACAGCGTTGAGGCCACGAGACAGCAGTCATTTAGCTGACCATGTGAGTCAGCCGACTCCAAGTTCCCCCAGCCGAGTGCTGACTCAGCTCCACCCTCTGCAACTTCCCTTCAGAGAAGGAAACACGTGCTCGCGCTGTGCAGCCATCACCCTGAAAGTCTCCTCTGTGCATGTCCCTTGGGAAGTTTGAGCAGAGATATCGGCCATCCCTCAGCCTAGCAGCCTCCTGGCATCTTCGCGGGCCTGGCCTGGATGGCGTCAGGCTCCCTCCCTCCATCACCAAGGTCTCAGAGCAAAACTGGGCAGAGAACGTGGGAGTCTACATCTGAAATGCTTGTGATGAGCCACACTTACCTTTTCGTCAGTGCCATTTTTCCAATATTGCACATGATAAGCCCATGAGTTATAAATATTCCTCATGGTCCATGTTTCAGGTTCATTCTCAATCGGGGGCGCCGAGAAACGCAAATGTAAAGAATCAGCGAGGGCTTCCACTTGCATCCGAGGCGGCCCAATAATAGCTAAGTCCAAGAACAAAGCAAATTGACCATCAAAATCACACTGTAACAACCTCACTGCAACATTGATTTTTCACAGCTGTGCAGAGCAAGGAGTCTCCTCAAGTACACGGCTCTCTGTGACACTGTTACTGTGACAATGACAGATGTGCTAAGGAGCAGAGTTAGATTTTGTTACTTTGAAACAATGTGATAGCCTTTGTTTTTATCAATGAAGTTTAGCCCATTTACATTGATTGTAATTCTTGATATATGTGGACTCATTTCTACTACATTACTTTGGCTTTTTTTTCTAACACACAACTTTTAAATTTTATTTATATATTTATTTTTGGCTTCTTACCCTCCTGTTTTTTTTTTTTTTTTTTTTTTTTTTTTTTTTTTACTGGCTTGAATTTTCTTTCTATTGCTGGGTTGGAAGCTACAGATGGTATTTTCTATTTTTTTTTTTTAATTTTTTGACAGGCAGAGAGAGAGAGACAGAGAGAAAGGTCTTCCTTTTGCCTTTGGTTCACCCTCCAAGCCACCGCAGCTGGTGCGCTGCGGCTGGCGCGCTGCGGCTGGCTCACCGTGCTGATCCAATGGCAGGAGCCAGGTGCTTCTCCTGGTCTCCCATGGGGTGCAGGGCCCAAGCACTTGGGCCATCCTCCACTGCACTCCCTGGCCACAGCAGAGAGCTGGCCTGGAAGAGGGGCAACCGGGACAGAATCCAGTGCCCCGACCGGGACTAGAACCCGGTGTGCCGGCGACGCAATGTAGAGGATTAACCTAGTGAGCCGCGGCGCCAGCCATTTTCTATTATTTTTAATGGCTGTCCTTAAATCTTTAACATCTATAACCAAACCCCCAACATATATAATCATGTGGGTGATCTGTTCTTAATGTGGGTCTCTGTTTAAATGCCACCTCCTCAAAGAGACCGTATCTTATCCCCTATAGAAAAGAACAGCTCCCACCTCTTTCTGTCCTGTTAGCTTGCTTTAGCTTTCTTGGGAGCCACGGTCACTGCTTATCAAACAATATGTATCTGTCTTCTATGGGTCTTCCCATTAGAACAAAAGCTCTTGTTCACAGGTGTCGCTTCAGCACTAAGAATGTGCCTGCCACACCGTAGGTGCTTGGTAATAATCACCTAATGAATAACAATGGCCCTGGGCTGTTGTATCCTGTGTTCTTCTCTGGCTGCTGAGACTTGTTTGGGAGGCCGCTAATGGGTCTGCCTCTGCCCATGCTAATCTGCTGGTCTGAAAGCCAGACATGAAAATTATGTTAGATACTTTCACCAAGTACCAATGGGTTTCACGTGATGTTTTGAAGCACCTTCTGATCATGAAAACAAACAAGCTTCAAGATGTGAACACCCAGCACAGGGTAGTCGTTGCTAGGAGCCAGGTTACGGGAGCCGGATGTGAATCCTCCTGCCACTCACTATCCGTGTGACCTCTCAGCAAGCTGTGCACCTCTAAAGGAAGCTTCCACAGAAGGGAACAAAAGCAGGACCTGGAACCAGTGTGGACCTGGGAAGCGATTAAGGAGCAGAAACCTGTACAGTCATCTCTCGTATCTGGGAGTAACTCCAAGACCCTGACTCCTGCAGACGACGAAACCACAGATGCTCAAATCCCTTATGAAAAATATGATAGCGTTTGTATATCCCACGTACGTCCTCCTGGATATATATTACCTACAACATCTAATACAATGTGATTGCTTTATAAATAGCTGCTACGCTCTATTGCTTAGGGAATAAAACAAAGTTTATACATGTTCAGAACAGATGCAATTTTGTCTTTCCAGGCCTTTTCAATCCACAGTTGGTTGAACCCCTAGATGTGGAATCTATGACTAGAGGGCTGCCTGAACCATTTTGGGACTTGACTACTGTTAAACTCTATTTCTTTGTGTGTTCATTTTTTTCCCATTTACTTTCATACAGGTGCCCTTAGAAAAGATAACATCGATAATTTCTGACTCCATATATAAGATTTTTGCTCAAGCTTGGGACAGAAAGAGAAGAAGGGGGTCCCTAGCCCTGTTCCCTGCCAATGAGGATGGAATTGTGCAGGCCACAGGGGTCCAGAGCAGGGGACCCCTTCCCACAAGGAGACAGCTCCTTAGGGGCTTCTCTTTGTGTACCCCTGGAGGGTGGCCCGTGAGTTCTGCTAATGAGGTTCTTGTAACCACCAGCCCTGCCTTTAGTTCCTAAATGGCTGGATGGTGGTTTAAATAGTTTTCAACTCTTGACATTATAAACAGGTTCACCTCCTGGCCTCTGGTGCCTCTCCATGACCTCAGGATCTGACCTGGGGACATTCATCTTTCCAATGTTTACCAGCCACCGTGGCCCAACCATTAGCTGCATCCCACCCTCTGTACTGCGCTCTGGCTAAGCTGACTTTCTGCCATGCGCTCTTTCTGTCCCACACCTGCCTGTATTCTTCTGCTGCCTATCATGTCATATTTATTTAAGTCAAAATTCCAAAATAACTTCTTTCAGAACACGTACAGCCTGAATCTACCCAGTTCTCGCTGATAGCACTGGCTCCAACGCATTCACTCCCTTGAGGCGTTGGAAACATATACGTTTATTTTGTTGATGATACATTTATCCTTTCTTGTCTCTTCCATGGATTTCTCCAAGGCTACGGCCCTCTTGATAATATATTCCTGAGCTCACTGAGCAAGGCCATCCACTTGGTGCAAACTCAAAGAATTCTGGCTGGTGGAGCAGCCCATGTGAACACAAGCAAGGCAAGCCGATGGCATGAGAACGGAGCGGAAAGGAAGCGGCTTACTATCATCCACAGGGCAGAAGCCGACCTGCACCCAGTCCGAGTGCTCCTCTGCGAATTCAGCTCTGACTCTCAGGGTGTGGTCCCCATACTTGGAGAGGCTGGAGAAATTGCATTCCGTCTTGGCAGTCCCCTTGCACATGTCTTGGAATCTCCTGTAACTGTACAATCAGAAAGACGAAGTCACGAGAGCTCCAACACGGGGTCTCCGAGGCCTCCCGCCCTCAGACCCACAGAGGAAACGAGAAAAGTCTCAAGCGGGTTCTTCGTCGCCGGTTCTGATCAGCACAAGAGCGCTCTCCGCACTGTGCTCCATGGTGTGCTCCACGGCACCTGAATGACCCTGAGACAAGGCTCTGGTTTGGGTGTGGTTTGCGTGTGCCCCCTGGAAGCTCGGTCCCCAGTGTGGTGATGTTGAGAGGCTGTGGAACCTTTTTTTTTTTTTTTAAATTTTTTTGACAGGCAGAGTGGACAGTGAGAGAGAGAGAGACAGAGAGAAAGATCTTCCTTTGCCGTGGGTTCACCCTCCAATGGCCGCCACGGCCAGCGCGCTGCGGCCGGTGCACCGCGCTGATCCGAAGGCAGGAGCCAGGTGCTTCTCCTGGTCTCCCATGGGGTGCAGGGCCCAAGCACTTGGGCCATCCTGCACTGCACTCCCTGGCCACAGCAGAGAGCTGGCCTGGAAGAGGGGCAACCGGGACAGAATCCGGCGCCCCGACCGGGACTAGAACCTGGTGTGCCGGCGCCGCAAGGTGGAGGATTAGCCTAGTGAGCCGCGGCGCTGGCCGGCTGTGGAACCTTTTAAGAGATGGGGTCCAGGGCGTGGAGGCATCGCCTTGGAAGGGATTGATCATGGTCTCGTGGAATGAGTTAGCGCCATGAGCACAGGCCGTGAGCAGCGAGGCCACCCGGGTACTGGGTCCCTTCTGCCAGTCCCCCTTCTGCTTCTTCACCACGTTGGAACGCGGCCAGGGAGCTTGCACCAGGATTCTGGCCCCTTGCTGCTCAGACGCTCCAGCCGCCAGAATCTTGAGCCAAGTCGATTTCGTTATACAGTACCCAGCCTTGGCTGCCACGTTACAAACAAACCACGATAGGCATAATGACCGACCTTGCAAAAGGCAGACAGAGAGAACAGAGACGGAACTGCTTTGCAAGCTGCCTTTTTCACCTAATCCACCGCGTATATTTTACCAATCAACCCACTCTCTGTGGCTGCCCAACGCCCCATCACTTGGAACACCCAGGGGCTACTGCATCCAGGGGCAGTCTCACCTGCGGGCATTTCCTCCCTGAAATGAATGTGCCAGTGTCTTGGCACACATGGTATACCCGCAGTCATTGTGCAACAACTTCTCTTTCGCTTAGCTTGTTTTTATTCCACTTAGGAAAGTTTTTCTCCCCAGGCAATAGGTAATGTGGCCCATGCACGGTATGTGCTTCTAATCTGGGGGCTTGTCCACAGCAACATCACCAGCACACCCTCGGACACGCTCCCTGTTCTGGTCACCCCACCCTGCTGCACATCCACAACAGACAGCTCCATGGAGCTACCCAGGGGTCCTCCCATCTTCTGGGGTCAAGTCTATCCCCCAAGCACATGCCCAGCACATGTTTTGTCTTCTGCAGCCCACACCTTGCCCTATCTGCAGTTCTGTGGGAGATACCTCGAGGCCAGCCAGGGCCACCTCCTGCCCCTGCACCTGCAGGTGTCACTGACACTGCTCATCAAAAGATGAACGGCAGAAACCAAGCACCGTGGTGACACAGGAAGCCAGGCGTGGAACAATTAAGAAATGACAGGGGAGAGACGGGGAGAGGGAAGGTAGCTTTCCAGACCCAGTGGAGGAAACTGCGATGAAAGCATACAGAAAGTCTGATTGGAAAAACGTGTCTCAGGAAGAGAAACCTGAACGTCAAAGGATCTCTGTTCAACTCTTGGGACTGACAAAACTGCACTATGGGGGCTGGCGCTGTGGCTCACTTGGTTAATCCTTTGCCTGCAGCACCAGCATCCCATATGGGTGCCGGGTTCTGGTCCTGGTTGCTCCTCTTCTAGTCCAGCTCTCTGCTGTGGCCCGGGAAGGCAGTGGAGGATGGCCCAAGTGCTTGGGCCCTGCACCCGCATGGGAGACCAGGAGGAAGCACCTGGCTCCTGGCTTTAGATCGGTGCAGCTCTAGCTGTGGCGGCCATTTGGGGGGTGAACCAACTGAAGGAAGACCTTTCTGTCTCTCCCTCTCTCTGTCTAACTCTGTCAAATTAAAAAAAAAAAAAAAAAACAAAACTGCACTATGGACTGCAGAGTCCATGAAAGCACTCCGTCAGGGTTCCTGCACCTGACCGCAGTATACCGTGCGATGTGAGAGATTAGCCTGGTTCTTATGAAACACACACTGTAACGATAAGGGGCAAAGGGCATGATGCACAAGAAAGAGAGCGAGCGAGCGACAGCGTGCAGAGCACGCGCAGAGACAGAACGTGGCCGTATCAAAAGCTGGGGGATCTGGACGTAGGCCATCTGCAAGTTCTTTGCACCAGGCTTAAAATCTGGAAATTTTCTGGTTAGTCTGGAATTATTCAAAATTGAAAAGTTTAAAAAAAAAATCCAAGCCCTAGCAAGCACTATCTTATTGATCTTTCCACTTCTGCGACTTAGCAGGCCTTGGCTGTAATGGGTAGGACTGTGGGATTCATGGCAGCTGGGGCCCGGTCCCTCCCTGCCTCGCGGAAGCGCTTGTCAATCTTTGTATTCATTGCTGAGTCACACGGGAAGCAGGTGTGCTGGCTGTTTGCACCTGCTGTGGAGATGTGTCACCTGTAGTCCAGCCTGTGCCGTGGGCTGGCAGGCTGCCCAGGGAGGGCAGAAGGGACTGTCTCCCCTGGGCGTAGGGAAGCACTGACAGGCAGGCCAGGAGAGGAGTTAGGCCACTACTGGGGGAACCGTCACAGCGACAGCCACCCTCTGCTGGCATAGCTGCCTTACTCACAGCGTCAGACACAGCCTCCCCCAGCACGGGCGTGTGGTTATAACCCACTGGAGGGGTGGGTGGTGTGGCAGCCGGGCCTTCCCACTGGCTTTGTAGACCTCCCTTGTGTGCACAGCTTCCCATGGACACAATGTGCATGCACACTGTCAGCTTTGGGTGCTGCGGCTTTAAGAGAGACAACAGTGGGGCCACCTTTCTCTGCAAAAACAAGGGGCCTTCAGAAACTTCATGGAGAAAACCGAGTCAAAAAGTAAGTTTTGGGCAGGCAAGCGTGCAGCAGTTAAGCCGCTCCTTGGGACACCTGCATCCCATGTGGGAATACTGGAATGCCTGGGAGCCCCAGCTCCATCCCTGACGCCAGCTTCCTGGGAGGCAGCAGACAATGACTCAAGTGGTTGGGTCACTACCACCCACGTGCGTGGGAGACCTAGACGGAGTTCCAGGCTGCTGGCTTTGGCCTGACCCAGCCCTGGCTGTTGTGACATTTGAAGAGTGACCTAGCAGATGCGAAATCTCTCTCTACCTTTCAAGTAAATGAAATAAATAATTATTTAAAAAGTTAAAAACCTATTTTTAAAAAGGTAAGTTTACATTGGTTCAAAAAATAATTTGAAATTCATGCATTTTTTTCCCTAATACATTTTCCATGAACTCTGTGAAGATCTCTCTACGGATGGCTTTCGATTGTTTTGTACCAAAATGGACTTATCTTTCAATTCCATTTTCCACGAACTTCTTGAAGTCCCCTGCTATGTCCATCATGACAGGTGAGCTTGGTTCTGTGTGAGCCCAGGCCTTCTTTGTGGCTGCCCTCCACACACACAGGATAATGTATCTACCTATCTACGAGCAGCCCTGGGGAAGTCAGACCAGGAGCCAGACCAACAAGCAAATGTCAAGAGGAAAAGCTGAACACAAGAATTCCCCGGACAGAAAGGAAAAGGCTCCCCTGGGCCGTCACGGTCACGTAGGTGACAGCAGCCAGACTCCCTCCCTCGCGGGATCCAGCCCAGGGCCGCCATTCTCTGTCACCTTCTCACCGCCGGGGGTCCCCAGACCCACCTGAGGTACTGAGCTGTGAACGTGAGATTCCCTTTGGGAAAAGCAGGTGACTCCCACTGTAGAATGTTCTTGAAATTAACAGAATTGATTCTGACGTTTTCAGGAGGTGGCACCATGCCCAGCGCTGTGAACACAAAGGAAAAGAATTCACAACTTTTGCTTCGAAAACGTTGCCCATGAAAACACGCACGTCCAACGCCTGGGTCTCCCGGCCAGCTGCAGGTCTTCCAGTGCCCCGTGGGAGGGGACAGGTGAGTGACGTGAGCTGTGATGACTGTGAACTCCGGGGAAGGCAGATGTGTGGCGCAGGGACAGATGACGGCGACCTGGATTTGGGTCCAGACAGACCGATGGGAGGGCGTAGGTGGGGCAGACAGCCTTAAGATTTATTTCCAGAGATGTCAGGTCTAGACTTGCCAATACATCTGTTGTGCAGAAGTCAAAGCCATCACCCGCTTCTGGGGATCCGGCTGGGGCTGGCACCGGCAGCCCAGAGTTTCCCTAGGAGTGGCATCAGACTGAGTTCAAGTGGCGGAGTCGGGGAGACAGACGGATGCACTCGGAGGGCCCACGGATTTGGGCTACAGATAGAAATTAGGCTTTAAAATTTTAATAGGAAATTCTAACATACGCACAAGTAGAGAGAGGCGCGTAATAGACCACCACCTACCCACCCAACCGTCGCCAAGAGACACACACTTGAGAGTCGTGGGTCTGCGTGCAGCCCGGGTATTTAATGCCAGGGTTCTGCGGAACCCCCTCAGGAGCACGTGGAGAGGAAGAGCGAAGAATCCGCAGGCCCCGGCTACACTGAGGTTTGGTGGAGGTGGCGGTGGCAGCCTCAGGCAGCCGTGGCCCCGAGGAGCAGCAGGAACACCCAACAATGCAGGGTCCCCGGGGCCAGGCAGCGAGGGGCCATCGCCTTGCCGGAATCCCGCGCAGCCACGCATTCACCGGATTCAGACTTAAGACGCCTGGGAGGTGGGGCGCTGGAGATGGGACTGAGGGCTCAGCGCGCTGAGGACCGAAGAGAAGACGGGGGGCGGGGATGCGGGCCCGTCGGCTGGGGAGGAGTCGGTCCCGGGTGGGTGGAGGGCGGGGTTGCCGCCCGGTGGGCTCCGGTGACAGCCCCCGTGGGGTGCCTTGGACTTTCGGGAGCCGGTCTTTAGGGAGAGCCCACCGGCTGGGGAGCGGAAGAAGGCAGGCGCCGGCCGCTCCCGCCGGAGTTCGGGTGCAGCCCTCGCCCCGCGCTCCAGGGGTGCGATGTGGGGTCGTCCCGCGCGTGCACCATAGCGCAGCTCGACTGGGCTCAAGGGTCCCAAGCGTGCCTCGGAGGGCGGGTCCAGGTCCCGCGACCCTCCCCGCAGACCCCTCACCTGACACCAGGAGGCAGCCGCTCAGCCAGCTCCCGAGGCTCCGCGCCATGGCCGTGCCAGCCCGGTGCCGGGGAGGGCACTGGACGCCCCTGTCTGCCCCCGGTTCGCTCTCCCGCCGCCGCGCCCTATTCCGGGAACCCGAGGGGCGGGGCGCTCAGGCCCCGCCCCCGCATCAGGCCCGCCCCCTGCCGGGTGCACCTGTGCCGCCCCTGGAGCTCCGTATCGGGGGCGTGGCGGGGGCACTGGAGGAAGAGCGAGGAGGAAAAGGCACACTGGACTCAGTTCGTGGGAAGACAGAAATAAAAGTTTGTTTCGGTATAAAAACATGTCGAGATTCACATACACAGGCATCTTCAAAAACTTCATAGAAAATGCATATTATAAAGTTACAAACTTTCTTGCATCACAATAAACTTAGGTTTTAATTTCATTCTCCGTGAACATTTTTGCCTTTTAATTTGAAAGGTGGACAGAGTTCCTTCCCACCTGCTGGTTCATTCCCCAAATACCCAGCAGGTGCCCAGGCTGAAGCGAGCAGCCCGGAACCCAACCCTGAACAGGTGCAGGTGGCAGGGACCCCACCACCTGCGCCTCCCAGGTGCGCACGAGCAGGAAGCCATAACAGCAGAGCTGGACCTCAAACCCAGGGACTGCGAGCCGGCGTGCTGCGCCCAACTCGCCCTGTGAACTTTTCCAGGCACCCACATCCGCGCACTGGGCCGCCCACCCTGGGGTTTTATCTGAAGGGTGGAATTTGGGGCAGTGCTGGTTTTTCTCTAAACCTTCATTTTCTCAGGGGCCCAGCTGGCTCTCTGGAAGGCCCTCTCCCCAGCAGGTGGTTGAAGAGCACTGTTGGGGACGCCAGGGTGAGAGTCTACCCACCCAGGGAGGGTCCCAGGAAAGCCGCGCCGTTTACTTGCCAGTGAGCAGCATTTTTCAGGGGCCAGCCCAGAAAGCTTTCATTTCCTCTTTCTAGGACGTGGGCAGCGGTGCGGTTGGAAACTCCAGCGCGGGCCGACGGACTGGAAGCTCTGCCTGCCGTCTGCCAGGGGAGCCCCAGGCTGATGTGTGAGGAAGGGGGCGGGAGGTGGTCACAGCGAGCCGGCGGGCTCACAGATCTGCACGGGTGCTCGCCATGGAGGCTGCGCCAAGTTTGTACTAAAAAGTGTGCTTGTCGTACCCGTTACCAGCTCAGGCCATGATGCAAAACTGTGAAAGGGACACACCCAAGTGCAGATGGGAGAGGCTACTCTGAAATACCAGTCTGGAAATGCAGAGGGCCCGGGAGGCCAGGATGTGCGTGCGGCCTCTTCCGTAGGGCATTTCAGTCATCGAGTGATGGCTGCCCCGGCACAGCCTGAGTTACTTTAGCGCAATGATACAAATAATCTCTCCAGGCTCCTACAACTGGGTCTCCTACAACTTTCCCTTTTCACCTTTTGAATAGAGTTGGCGGGAGTGGGAGCGGTGAGAAAGGAGGGTCCCCCACCGCTCATTCATCCCGGGGCCTCCCCAGGTTGCCCCATTCCCACTGGCGTCTTTATTTCTGAATACTTCCCAGTATTGCCCTGGATTCATAGGGTGGTAATCCCCGTAATTCATAAATGAGGACTGGGGCTCTGGAGAGACTTAGCAAAATGCCCCGAGCCACAACAGCAAGATGGCAGCCGGGGAGCTCTGTGGCCCAGTCCTGTGCTGTTCGCTCCATGACGTGGTAGAGCCTCGCCTTCCCTCCTCCCCCCAGTCATGAGACACCCCATCACCCGGAGGACGCCTGGAACCGGCACGCGGCACGTCGGCGAGTGTCAGGTCAGCTCCCCAGCTCTTGCATGCCGCAGTTGCACTTGTGATTTTTTTTTTTTAATCCCACAAGATGGCACTGAGATTTTATTCCTCTTCCCCGTGCAATGTGTCCTCTCTCCGTTAGTCACCTGCCTGGACCGGAGTGTGTAGCATCTGTGACTCCTCTCCAGAGGGCTGGTGAGGTGCTGGCGCTGTTCCCGCGGCACGGGAGGCCGACTCTGGCATCTGAGAGGTGCATGGAGACGAGCTGGCCGATCCTTGTTTCCCGGCCCCCCACTCCGTCCTGTCCCCTCCTCCACTGCTGCCTGCTTTCCTGTTCTCTCCCCGACCCCAGCCTCCCCTGCACCCATCTGCTTCTCTGTCGGACACACCGCAGGGCCCTAGCTCACCCTGGAGGGCCACAGGGAACTGTGCTCCCTGGGTACCTTGCTCCCAGGTATACCAGCAGAATGCAATGGACAGAGTATGTGCCCTTCCAAGGGTATCACTTGGAACTGGGCAACGCGGTGCTGAGTGGCAGGACGCTTCCCATGCTGGGACCCTGCACGGGTGGTGTCGCCGGGAAGCCCAGGAGGTTCCCTACTCCTCCTGGCAGAAAACACTTGCAGACCACAAAGCAGCAAGCTAGGGTCCAAGGAGAGAGGACCCTGTGGGTCCTTGATGGTCGGAGTTAAACATTTTTCGGACTCATCTCCTTATATAGTCGCCCCCCGCACCAACGTCTGAGTCGGAATCAGAAGTGTCACTCCTCTCAGAAGGAATGTCGGCAGGCCACTGGCACTCGGAAGAGGCGCCGGGGTAGGGTGGCTCCAGCCCGTCCCCACCGGCCGCCAGCGTGGTGGGCTCCGTGCGACCGGGATCCTCTAGGTCGCTGATGTCCTCTGGAGGAGGGGAGAACGTCACAGGGGCGTCTTCCGTGTCATCGTCAAGGACTCTCATGAACACAGATTTCAAGTCCACGTTGAAGACGATTCGGTCCCCAGACCCCCCGGTGCTGCTGCTGTCCCCATCGGGGACGGGGTCCTGGGGCGGACTCTCTGTCCTCTCGTCGGTGCGCTCTGTCGGCGAGGGGCAGAGGGCCGGCCTGGGGACTGTGGGGGACTCCGCGTGGGCCTCAGGTGAGTCAGGCTCCTCCACGTCTGACTCCTTCGCGTCCCCGTCGGCGGACTGGGACTCCTCAGAGGTGGCCGAGGTGGCGGAGGTCTGATTCAGAGGCCTGCCCAGTAGGCCGTGCGTGGTGTAGCCACCGGCGTTTGCTCTGGGGGCTGTCTCGTCATCGCTGTCACTTTCGTCGTCATAGTTGTAATTCCAGAGTTTCTTCATCCTGTTGATGCAGATGACCTCCACCACGTCCACTGCTTCTGATGGGGGCAGCTCAGGAAATACCCAGAATAGAAAGTTCTGAAAATTCTTGAGAGAGAGAGAGAGAGAGAGAGAGAGAGAGAGAAAGAGACAGTATCAGTTATGTTTAGATCTTTCATATAATGAAGCTTTGTGAGGCAGCACAAAGATGCACATGGCCACATGGCAATGCTGAGGACAGTGTCGCCACCACCAATGACAACAGCTAATAGGGACACAGTGCTTGCTCTTGGCTGGCCACTGCTCTGTTTTACACACACTTGGCCCCCTTGGCAGCCGGGGTTGGTCCTCAGAGCCCCTGTGAATACCAAAACCTGTGGAAGCCCAAGTCCCTGACATACAATGTCCCAGTCCATTATATATACATTCCGTATAATACTTCTGTACTTTAAGTTGTCCCTAAATTTCTTACAACATCTAATAAAATGTGAACACTACGTAAACAGTTGTTAAATTGTATTATTTAGAGGATAATGACAAGAAAAAGTCTATATGTGTATTTTCAGTCCTTGGCCGGTTGAATCCATGCAAAATGCAGATAGAGAGAGCCCACTGTAACTCACTTTCCCCTCACAGTAGCTCTAGGAAGCAGGCTTACTATCTTCATATCCACTTTACCGACGCGAACACGCGGTGCAGAGCGGCTCAGACACTGAACCTGAGGGTCGTGCCCGTGAGTGGGCAGCTGCAGCTGAGGCTGGGTTCCGGCGTCTCTCACTCGGCTGCTTCCTGCTCCAGGAAACCCCTCACCCCGCTGGACAGGCTTCCATCTGGGCTGTGAGAGCATTCTTGAGCCGTGTCCAGGAACTGACCACGGGCTTGGACGGGCTCCTGGGTGCCATTTCCATCAGGTCAAAGTCCAGGGAAACGGAGGACCCTGGAGGCTCTGAAGACCCCTATAGGGTCAGGGGTGGGAAGTGCAGAGAGCCAGGCTGGAGTCTGTTCCATCCCAGTCCTTGGGAGAAGACACCTCCAAGGCGCGGCGGGGAAGGGTGAGCTAGCGGTGGGGAAGGGTGAGCTAGCGGCGGGGAAGGGTAAGCCACCGGGCAAGCGAGGCAGGTCGAGTCCAGCCTGCTGGGGGGTCCCAGTGCCAGAATAACTAGGAGGGGCAGTTGGTGAGGAGGGGGTCAGGAGAGTTCTTTCACAGACCCCGAGCCCTCGTCAGCACCGTGGCCGTCCCTGCCCCCCTGTGCTGGTGCAGGCTCACAGGCTGTGTAGCCTGGCAGACCGTCCTTCCCCGACGCTATGCAGCCTCACCCAGGGGCTGAAGTTTCCCACGGGGCTGCTTGCGGGTTTTCTTACTGACTCATGGAAGTTCTTTATATAATTGGCACACCAATTACATGTCGATTATTTATAATCCCCCATCTGTGGTTTATCATTTTATTCTCCTTACGATGCCGTCTGCTGAAAACAAATTCTCAACTTGAGAGTAAGACATATCAGTTTTATTCCTTTAAGGTTCTGTGTCTGAGAGGAACTTCCTTACCCCAAAGTATAGAATGTTCTACACAGATGTTCCTCAACTTACGCTGGGGTGACAGCCCAACGAGTCAGTAATGCGTTTCATACATACATCTCACCGACTGAACAGCTGGGCCAAATCACCCAGGACAAAGCCCATTTTATAATAAAGTATTGAGCTCAATTTTATAATAATTCATTTTATAATAAATATTAAATTCAAAATTCAAAATTTGGTCTTTACTGGATGTGTATTGCCTTTGCACCGAGGTGGAGTCAAATACTGATTCCGGGCCGGCGCCACAGCTCACTAGGCTAATCCTCCGCCTAGCGGCGCCGGCACATCGGGTTCTAGTCCTGGTCAGGGTGCCGGATTCTGTCCCGGTTGCCCCTCTTCCAGGCCAGCTCTCTGCTGTGGCCAGGGAGTGCAGTGGAGGATGGCCCAGGTGCTTGGGCCCTGCACCCCATGGGAGACCAGGTAAAGCACCTGGCTCCTGGCTCCTGGCTCCTGCCATCGGATCAGCACGGTGCGCCGGCCGCAGTGCGCCGGCCGCAGCGGCCATTGGAGGGTGAACCAACGGCAAAGGAAGACCTTTCTCTCTGTCTCTCTCTCTCACTGTCCACTCTGCCTGTCAAAAAAAAAAAAAAAAATACTGATTCCAACCATTGTAAGCAGGGAGCCATCTGCATTACCTTCTAAAACCTGGATGCTTTGGTCTTTCTCATTCTCTTAGCCTGCCTTTACCAGGACCTGATTTCTGTGTGTGGCCATGAGGTAGGGATCCAGTGTCATTTCCTCCTGCCAATCTGTGATGCCCATGCTGTCATGAATTGTATTTTCACATGACACAGTCTGCTTCGGAATCCTCTTTGGACATGGATTTTGTTAATGCTTTTCAGTGGGATTTGATTAATGTCTCCACAAAAGGCTGGTACATTTAGTTCAGTTTATTGCTTACATGTTTTTAAAAAGTATTATATTTTTAAAACTGTATGATTCCATTTTTTTTAAAGATCAAAGCCAGGTAAAACTAATCCATGCTGTTAGTCATCGGGATGTCATCACCCTTGGCAAGGGGTGATGACAAGGCAGGAGGAGAGAAAATTCTGGGGGTGCTGGTTATGTTCTCTCTCTTTAAAAAAAATGTATTTATTTGAAAGGCAGAGTTGTAGACAGAGAGGGGGGAGGGAAGGTGGGAGGGAGAGAGAGAGGAGAGATGTTCCATCTGCTGCTTCACTCCCCAAATGGCTGCAACAGCCAGGGCTGGGCCAGGCCGAAGTCGAGGGTCAGGAGCTTCATCTGGGTTTCCCACATGGGTGGCAGGGGCTGAGGCACTTGGGCCATCTTCTGCTGCTTTCCCAGGAGCATTAACAGGGAGCTGGATCGGAAGTGAATCAGCCAGGACTCAAACTGGCACCCATGTGGGATGCCTACGTAGCAGGTGGTGGCTTAGCCTGCGACGCCACAAAGCCGGCACCACATTCTCTTTCCTGATCTGGGCGAGAGTTACAGAATGTTTTCAGTTTGTGAAAATTCACAGAGTATGTACCTATGTTGTGTTTGCTTTATTTCTTAGATATCGCAAAGCAGTTTCATGTTTATTTAGTAACTGAATGCTACCAAATGTTATTTTGTATGTGAACTTCTTAATCCTACGGATTTATCTCTAGGTTTCATGAGAATATTTTATTTAGACAACTGTATCATCTATAAATTGTCGCTGTTTCTACCCTACTCCTTAGACTTGAAGTTCCATAAAGGCAGGTTTGTTACAGAGAGATTTTCTTCCTCTACATTATTTCAAATTGATGACCATGTTTCTGTGTTTCTGTAGGTAACACATCCTTAAGCATTTTTTTGTAGGGCTGGACAGGTGGTGACAGATTCTTTCAATTCTGTTTTTTGTTTTTAATTTATTTGACAGGTAGAGTTATAGACAGTGAGAGAGAGAGACAGAGAGAAAAGTCTTCCTTCCATTGGTTCACTCCCCAAATGGCCGCTATGGCAGGCGCTGCACTGATCCAAAGCCAGGAGCCAGGAGCCAGGAGCCAGGTGCTTCTTCTTGGTCTCCCATGAGGGTGCAGGGGCCCAAGCACCTGGGCCATCTTCCGCTGCCCTCCCAGGCCACAGCAGAGAGCTGGACTGGAAGAGAAGCAACTGGGACTAGAACCTGGCACCCATATGGGATGCTGGCGCCGCAGGTGGAGGATTAACCAAGTGAGCCACAGCCCGGCCCCTCAGTTCTGTTTGCTATGAAAGGTCTTTATTTTACCTTCATTCACAATGAGAGCTTTGCAGGATATAATATTCTGGGATGGCAGTTTTTTTTCTCTTAGTACTTGGGCTATATCTCGCCATTCTCTCCTAGCCTGGAGGGTTTCTGATGAGAAGTTAGCTGTGAGTTTATTGGAGATCCTCTGAGAGTAATCTGGCATTTCTCTCTTGCACATTTTAGAATCTTCTCTTTTTATATTTCACTGTGGTGAGTCTGATTACAGTGTGTCATGGCAAGGATCTTTTCTGCATTTCTGGTCATATCTACTGGGAGTTCTGTGTGCTTCCTGTACTTGGACATCCCTTTCTTTCTCCAAACCCAGTAAGTTTTCTGCTAGTATTTCACTAAAATGGCTTTCTAATCCTTTCTCTCTCTCCATGCCTTCAGGAACTCTTAGAACCCGATTTTTTTTTTAATAGTATTCTGTAGATTCCCAACAGTGTTTTTCAGTTGCTAATTTCCACTTCTTGTCTTTGGTTTGACTGTATACTTTCCTGTCCTTTGTCTTTTTTTTTTTATTTTTTTTTTTTTGTCGCAAGCAGAGTCGACAGTGAGAGAGAGAAAGAGAGAAGAAAAGTCCTTTTTTGCCATTGGTTCACCCTCCAATGGCCGCCGCGGCCGCTGCGCTGCAGCCGCGCACGCGCTGATCGAGCAGAGCAGTGCTCTCTGTCTCCATGGGTGCAGCAGCACTGGCATCTCACTGCACTCCTGGGCCACAGCAGAGAGTTGGCCTGGAAGAGGGGCAACCGGGACAGAATCCGGCACCCCAACCAGGACTAGAACCCGGTGTGCTGGCGCCGCAAGGTGGAGGATTAGCCTAGTGAGCCGCGGCGCCGGCCTGTCCTTTGTCTTCTGATATTCTCTCTTCTACCTCACCGATTTTGTTTTTAAGGCTCTCCACTGCATTCTTCATTTCATTTTTATTTCTCTTTAAGATTTCAATTTCATGGGAGAAATTTTCTTTCATATCCTGCATGGATTTTAGTAGTTCATGCATTTGCTTTTGATAACTTCTATGTTATCTTATGATCAATTTTTTTAGTTCTATTTTCTGCATTTTTTCTATCTCGTCTTCACAATCTAGTATTGAGGTGTCGTGTTCCTTTGGGAGCGTCATGTTGTCTTCCTTATTCTTGTTTCTTGGATTGGTATGTTTGTTTGGCATTTGTGGAGATACATGTTGGCTTCTTCTTCTTGTGGAGATACATGTTGGCTGCTTCTTCTTCTTCTTCCTCTTCTTCTTCTTTTTTTTTTTTTTTGCTGTGGCAGCTTTATCATTGTACTGTGACTGTAGATAAGTGGAATGTCTGCTTCCATCGAATCTTTACAGGCTTGCGGTGGGTGTGGCCAGAGAACTCTGTTCAGTTCTCCAGGGTTAAGGGCATGCCTAAGGTGACACTCCCAGGTTTGGCGTGGTAAATCTTCTAATTTTTTTTAATCAGAAGGGAAGTAATTCTGCTCAGCTGAGCTCTTCTTGATGGAGACCAGTGCCTGAGCACTGGCCCCAGTGGGTATAATATTCACCCGCTCTGTCCCTGGGACCACACAAAGGATCTGTGCAATCCTCAGTGTAAGCGCAGATTCCCCAGCGATGTCTCTCACCAGGTAACCACGAACCCCCGAGCTTGTGGCGTCTCCCCCTGAGACTGCTCACAGTCCCAGCCACACTGCGTGTCCTCCCCCACGCCCTCGGTCTTTTTCACAGTCCTGCTTCGGAAGCTTCACGCGGTCACAAGCTCCTAGCGCCCGGTTATTTCTCCCCACCAGAGTCAGGAGTCTGCTCGGCTGATTGCCGGGCAGACACAAGCTGGCGCAGCTGTTACGTAGGACCAAAATGGCGCCGCTCTACTGGCTTGTCGCAGCACACCTCTGTGAAGTGACTGGAGACAGAAACATGTCTGTCTGTCCTTTCCTTTTTCTCTCCTCCAGTTTGGATGGTGCAGGCCCCCCCCCCCCCCCGAGCTTCAAGCCTCATTCCCTCTAGGCTCTTCCTGCTGCTTTTTCACCAGTGGTTTGGGCTACTGTGGTCTGCTCTCCCCTCACTTTGTTTGTTTACTTCTATATCCCCAGCACCAAGAACATCTTGATAAAAGCAGATTCTCAGCAAATACTCATTACATTTCAAAAAGAATGAAAAAAATTATATTTAAAACTTTGAACATCTGCTCTTGATTAAACACATACACACAAACATACTAGACCTACAACGCTCTGTTTTCCTATTTTTAGAGTTTTTACTTACACACAGAAGAACAATTTTTAATAGAAAAACATTAGACAAAAGATGACCACACATAAGACGAGAGCCTTGTTAGACGGCTGTCGAAAATTTGGAGAATAAGTTCAATGAGTTCAACACAGAAAAAAGCTCTTTTTGAATGAAACAGTACAGAGTTTATTATAAAAAATAAAGCAATGGGGTAGGACGAATGACACATGATGAGCAAACACACTTGAGGTAAAAAACATGAAGAAGTTTTGGAAATGCGTAAGATGAACCCAGGCTGCGCAAAGGCTCTGAGCAGAAGCAAAGAGGCGAACGGCTGTTTTCACTGGAGTGAAAGTAACACGGGGGAGTGACGTCAGGGGTTGCTGCACACACAACAATGAGCAAGAGTAGCACGAGTGAGGAATCCACGCCAGTGGAGCTCTGGAGGGGTATATGCATTGCCACTGGTGTTGCGAATCAGCTGTTTATGTCTTTATAATTCCGGTTGGTGTATTACGCTCCACTGAAGTAATCTAAAACTAAGATAATCTCTACACGAGTGTCCAATGCACTGCTCATCATGGACAAGGACAGAAAGGAAAAGAACTGAAAAATAAGTCAATTCAAACACCCTGAGTTGGAAAGTGGTGAAGTAAACAGCAGGGCATTAATAATAATGGGATTTGATGGGAGCACCATAAACAACAGCTGGACAGGATACAGTAAGAAATCATAAAGTGCAGATAGCTACGAAATGCAGGCTTACAGGGAGGCGGAAGAACCCAGGGCGATGAAGCATCTCGATGTTTTTAGAAAATTATATCTTCTGTGAGAATTTGTAAGTATGAGATAAAATCCCTTAAGTTAAAAAACAAATAATAGATAGGAAAATTTTAAAGCTACATACCAAGGCTTTGGGGAACTTGTTCTTTAAGCATATGTAACCAACCCGTTTCAGTGTCAGGACGGTGGCGATGAAGACAACTGCTATCACAGACACAGTAATTATTCCTCCTATTTTGGCAGATTCTGATGATTCTGATGAAAGAAATTAAATGCCTTTACTTCAAAAGAAATCCAAGAAATAGTCACAAGTGAGCACACATGCATATCAGCCTGGTGTTGGAAGATAACGTGAATGATGCAATGTAAAAACATGTTCTGGCCGGCGCCGCGGCTCACTAGGCTAATCCTCCACCTAGCGGCGCCGGCACACCGGGTTCTAGTCCCGGTCGGGACACCGGATTCTGTCCCGGTTGCCCCTCTTCCAGGCCAGCTCTCTGCTCTGGCCAGGGAGTGCAGTGGAGGATGGCCCAAGTGCTTGGGCCCTGCACCCCATGGGAGACCAGGAGAAGCACCTGGCTCCTGGCTTCGGATCAGCGCGGTGTGCCGGCTGCAGCGCAGCGGCCATTGGAGGGTGAACCAATGGCAAAGGAAGACCTTTCTCTCTGTCTCTCTCTTTACTGTCCATCCTCCTGGGCGAAAAGAAAAAAAAAAAAAAAAAAAAAGAACGGAGGCTGACTTAAGACACAAAACGATGCTTTTACCCCAAGTGAAGAAGACAGGACCTGACAGGCTGCTGCTGTCGTGTGAACATTTCTTAGCAGGTAAGTTAGGAGAGATCAGAGGAGAAAGTGAGAAGTGAGTCACCGCAGGGCCTGCCAACCCCCAGAGACCCTGTGCCTTCTTGGGAGTTTCATGAAACCTCGTGTGACTGTCCTATGACTCATCCGAGGTTTTCTTGTATGGCATCTCCTGTGAGTGACAGCTCGGTACTCCTAACAGGCCCCTTGCAGTGACTGCTACGGGTTGATGTTGCCTCCAGAACTCAAGGTGAAAGTTCATTGCCACCATGACAGCACTGGGAAGAGAGGCCTCTAAATGTCGTTTGTGTGGGGAGGGCTCTGCTCTGAACAATGGGTTACCGCTGGAGTGGCTCTCCCTTTCTCAGGCATTCTTGCCTTGTGATGTCCCTGCCACATTATGGTATAGCGAGAAGGCCTCGTCTTATTTGTCTCCTTGATCTTGAACTTCCCAACCTCAAGAGCTGTGAGAAATAAATCTCCGTTCTTGGAATTTATCTGGTCTCAGGTATCCTGTTGTAACAGCAGGAACAGCTTCAAGACAGGGGCCATACCTGAGGTAGCTTCTAACACGGTGACTCGTTGGGGTGGGGACAGTCAATTTCTTTCTTCTCTTTTTTTGCAGGCAGAGTTAGACAGTGAGAGAGAGAGAGAGAGAGAGAGAGAAAGGTCTTCCTTCCTTTGGTTCACCCCCCAAATGGCTGCTACGGCAGGCGCACTGCACCGATCCAAAGCCAGGAGCCAGGTGCTTCTCCTGGTCTCCCATACAGGTGCAGGGCCCAAGCACCTGGGCCATTCTCCACTGCCTTCACGGGCCACAGCAGAGAGCTTGACTGGAAGAGGAGCAACCGGGACAGAATCCAGCACCCCAACTGGGACTAGAACCTGGGGTGCTGGCGCCGCAGGTGAAGGATTAGCCTAGTGAGCCATGGTGCCAGCCAAGGGGACAGTCAATTTCATTAGGAAAACCATTCGCATGATTAGGGGGTCAGAACTGCTAGGTCCAACCCCTGACCTCCAGGGAAGGGAGAGGGGCTGCAGATTGAGTTCAGTCCTATGGCCACTGACTTCATCAACGACGCCTACATAAAAACCCCAACGGAAACTCTGAACACCAAGGCCTGCCTGAGGAGTTTCTGGACTGGAGAACATGTGGATACCCTGGGAGGAGGTACATTCTGACTCCATGGCAACAAAAACTGGGACCCTTCCAGACCTTGTCCTAAGGCACTCTTTGTTAGGTTATTCATTTGGTATCCTTGATAATAAAATGGTAATCAGAAGTAGAGCACTTTCTTGAGTTCTTGAAGTCATTTTAGCAAATTATTGAACTTGAAGAGGGATCCTGGGAACCTCTGAATTTGCAGCCAAGTTGAACAGAAGTGTTCAGGACTTGTGGCTGGCATCTGCAGTGGAGCCAGCCTGTGGGACTGAGCCCTTAAGCTGCGGGCTCTGTCCTGACTTGGGTGATCAGTGTCAGGAGTGGACTGAATTGTGGGATATCTAGCTGTGGTCAAAGATTTGGTGTTAGGACCTAAATATGTAATTTTGCTTTGTGTTTATATTTTTTGAGAGCTACAGGCATAAAGACTCTGTATGTAGTTTTAGGTTTGCTCATACTTAGCAGACATTACAAAACTAGCTGAAGCTAACGGTCTGGGAGACCTCTTCCATGAAAACGAGTCTGCGCAGCACTGGGCCCTGAGGAGCACTGGGGAGTGAGGTCACCCTGCACTGCCGCTCTGACTCGGCACCGTCATGAACCTGCTGCTGCTCTGGGCAGCCGGCTGATTCACGGATAACCCTGTCACTCAAAGCCATTTCTGTATAATCCCCACTATTTTTACTCTTGCCAATCAGAACATTGAAGAAACTTCCACTGGGACTGCGAAAGCTAGAGGAGCTTCTCGAGGGAGCTTTTTCCTTTCAGTGAAAGTTCGAGATCTTGTTAGTCACTGAGCAGACATCAGTGGGGAAGGGCCCTGGCTGGATCCCTCCCTGTGCATTGCTCAGCATGGAGGAAGGTTCCGGATGACAACGTTTACTGTCCTGATGTCTCGGCAAGAGAAGGCTTCCCCCTTTCATCAGTGCCATCTCGTCCATGCTGGCAAACCTGCTTTTCCCCTGGGCCAGGCCGTGTCTATGAACCACCCTCAGCCTCGCTGCGTCCGCTGTTACACCCCGTGCTGCCTCTGCATTATGCTGCTTCAAGAAACTCAGCACCGTCCAGCTTTTGACGTCGACGATGGCCACGCTAAGGGCACGCGCACCGAATCTAATCCTGACTTCCTGAAACAAAAATACTTGCATTTCAGAAAGACTGCCAACTTTATACAGGTACATGGCCGACCATCCCTCCGGTACCACAACATGAAAGTGACTCTCGCAGAAAGCAGGGCCTGGCCACCACGAAACCCCTCTGTGATGTGCCTTTATTGGTCTTCCTGTTAATAGCTCCTTGAACTTCAGACTTGCTTCTTCAATAGGTTTTCTCTCAGAATGAAAGCATCCATTTTCACAACTATTAAAAAAAAAATGAACATACCTGATTCCTGGCGAGACTGAAGGAAGGTGCATTTTAAGGGAGACTTTATGGGAGTTCCCATAAATTTAGGCTCAAAATAAACAGATACACAGTAGTTGCTGTTTGGAATTAACTTGTCAATGACATAGCTGAAATTTCCACCGATGTTTCCTGTTATTTTGGGTTTATGCTATAAAAATAAGCAAAAAATCGGTAAGACTTTGAGTGAGAATTTCATTGAGGCAGGCCCTACAAGTATCTTTGGTGATTTGCTTTCAAGGAGAGCTAAGATACTTGGAGTCAGCCTGGACAGAGTTAAGAAATATTACAGGCTTGGCAAGAGAAATGGATTTATCGGTCACTTGCAGCAAGCAACTTATCACAAGGCTACATGGACATGTACGTATATATTCGCATGCACACATACATATACACACACAAGGGCATCTTACAAAGTTCCTAGAAAAACAGAGTGAAAAGATATTTATTTTGGTGCAAAATTTTTTGAAACCCATGCATTTATTTCAAAAGGTAGAATTGCAGAGAGAGGGATGGAGAAACAGAGATAGGTCTTCCATCCACTGGTTCACTCCCCAGATGGCCACAATAACCAGGGCTGAGCCCAGAATTCCACTGAGTTCTCCCACGTGGGTGGCAGAGGCCAGAGAACTTGGGCCATCTCCCACTGCTGTCCCAGGTGCATTAGCTGGGAGTTGGATAAGAAGCAGAGGTCAAGACTCAAACTAGGAGTCCGATACAGGGTGCAAATGTTGCAGGCAGCAGCTCAACCAGCTGTGCCACAATGCTGGCCCCTCCAAGAACTTTTCAAAGACCCCTTGTATGCAAGAATTCAAAAATTTTTGGCATCAGAATAAACTTATCCTTAAAAAAAAAAAAGATGTATTTATTTTTTTGAAAGGCAGAGTTACAGAGAGAGGCAGAGGCAGAGAAACAGAGAGGTCTTTCATCTGCTGGTTCACTCCCTCAGATGGCTGCAACGGCCGGAGCTGGACTGATCCAAAGCCAGGAGCCAGGAGCTTCTTCTGGGTCTCCTACGTGGGTACAGGGGTCCAAGGACTTGGGCCATCTTCCTCTACTTTCCCAGGACACAGCAGAGAGCTGGATCGGAGGTGGAGCAGCCGAGACTCAAACCAGAGCCCATCTGGGATGCTGGCACTGTAGGCGGCGGCTTTACCTGCTATGCCACAGCGCTGGCCCCTAAATCCCATTTTTCATGAACTTTGTGGAATGCGCCACTGTGGGCATTCGGGGAGTGAACCAGCAGATGGGAGTGTGCATGCTCTGTCTCGCAAATGAATAAATGAAACTTAAAAAAAAAAAAAAAAAGGTTGTGGAATTAAAAGATAAGCTTATTTTTGGTGACAAAAAAAAAAACATCAAAAATCCCTGCATAGTTTTTTCATAGTATGAATTTTCTAAAGCTCTGTTGTCTTAATTTCACTGATTTTCAACAGTTTGCAAAGCAGGCATCTCTCTGTTCAACAGATGAGGAACCTGCAACTCAGCGTAGCCACAATGTTTCTACAAAGTCACACCGGAGTCTGCAGCTGAACTCAGGCTGAGGGCTGACTTCCTGTCTTGTCCGGAAAGCACCGTGCCTTTGCTTTTCCTTCTAATCTGTTCCCTTTCAGAATTTCTAAGATGCTATGAAGGCCCTGTCATGAATAACAACTTTTGTATCACGTTTTATAGCTTTCAAAATACCTTCTCGCTAGCAGTTTTATAAATTTAGGATTTCTAGCAGTTCACACACAGTCTTCTGTGATAGTGTGGTTCTGTGTGTAAGGAGGAGAAATTATGAAACAGACAAACTGACATATAAGCCCAAGAACTAGACGGAGATGGTGATACCCAGTGTCACGGTAGGAGGACTCCTGTCTCTCATACAAGAGCATAACGTGAGCGAGGGGAGACGCCCGGACAGCACGCTGGGTGCTGCGGCAGGGCTCGCGTGCTTCCTGTTTCACTGAGCACCCGGAAGCTCACCCCAGCGCCCTCCCTGCATGCTTTTGTGCTGCGTCCTCTGCTTCCTGCTCCTTGACTGGGGGCGCAGGCTCCCTGCTCCCGGCAAAGGGCAACTTCTTCAGCTGCTCTGCCTTCTACGCTCACCTACCCTAGGACACTGCTCCAAGGACACCCTCTGGAACACTCCACACGCATGCAAACGTGCTGTAATTTCTCCCATCTTAAAAAGTCTCTCCTCTGCCCCTACTTTCCCCTCTAGCCACCACTGCCTATTGTTTCATAGAAAAACTCTGATAGATGAGCCCTCTTCAAGCCTTCAGTTAGGGTTCCCCCCTTCTTTCTTGAATCCACTTCAACCAGGCCTTTGCCTCTTCAACTCCACCGAAACTATTCTAATTAAGGGTGTGATTACTACTGTGCTGCCAGAGCCAACAATCGCCTCACAGCCCTAACTTGTCTCATTTGTAGCATCTGATTCGACAGTTCACACTTTTCTTCTGGAACTTTCTTCTCTCAGTGACCAGAACATCACTCTCATCTCGTCTTCTTCTCACCATGCCAGTCGCTCCTTCTCAGTCCATTTTGCTGATTTGTCCTTACTTGGTAGACCTCCACATTTGGAATGTTCTGGGGCTCCACCCTCGGACGTCTCTTCTCTCTGTGCCTCCACTCTGGTCTCAAGAAATCTAACACACACCGCAGAGCCACTGGCTCTCCGGACATCTCCATTGCTGGGAGGTCTGCAAACTCCAGGCTCAGAACATCCAACTCCTGCCAACATCTCCTCCAAGGTACCTTCTGGATGCCTCAAACTGAACATCTCCAAAACTGAGCTCCTAATGATCAACCCCCACCTTCTCTGTCCATAACCAAAGTGTGGGAGTCTCTCCTTTTCTGCCATACTGAGGCAGGAGGCAGCTAAGGGTTAACCGGAAAAGCTGAGGAAAGCACATTCCAGAACTCTCTGGTGGTCTGTTTGTCCCTGCCTCCCTTACCCTAGAACTTGAGGAAAAACACAGATAAGGGCTACTTGAATTTGAGAAAGAATTCCAAGCTTGAAAGAAACTTCCACTTAGAAGCTGCATGCAGAGGTAATGCCCACATGGCCTACACACCAGGTGACTTCAAGACCTCACTAAGGGACCCGCGACTTGAGAACAGCTCCTGTGACACCACAGCTCCAGTTGGCTCAGGGTCTCCAGCCTCAGCTTCAACCTGAGCTTTGATTCTTGGCCTGCTTCTGCTCTCTTAAGAAGAACATGTTCTTTTCCTATAGTAAACCTTTGCTGTTACTGGCTGTGTGAATGTCACTGAAGTCACTGTATGAGGCTTCAACAAAGTGGTCGATACCTTCCTACTCTCCACTCCCACAACGAGAGCACAATTCAATACACGTGAAAATACTGCTCACTCCACTTGCAGGGTGTATGCAGAATCTGATCACTTCTCACTCCCCACCCCCCCCACCGAGCAGTCCAGGCAACTGCCACCTGTGACATGGATTACATCCGTAACTCTTTTCCTCTTGCTTTAAAGATGAATTTTCTTTTGTGAATAAGATCCTTATCAATGATAGTTTTTCACATAGAGTATTGTTAATATCCCAACAAGCACAGGATGAATCTCCTGGCTTTGGCTTGGCCTAGCCCTGACCTTTGTGGCTATTTGGAGAGCGAATCAGCAAGTGGAAGATCTATCTTGTCTCTCCCTCTCTATGTCTTTCAAATAAATAAATAAATAGCAAGAAAAAAATAATAACCTAAAATATGGAATTAGTCACCCATGGGTTAAAAATTAATGAGCTAAGGTAGAAATATGATACTTCATGACATTTGATATGATCCCTGAGCCACATCAACTACTTTTTCCCCACTATTTTGCTCCCTTTTCCTAGAGTGTTAACTATAATCCATGTAGGTATTAAAGAAAAAGTGATATTAACCATATAATTTGTTACTGCCTATTAAGTGATTACCATCTAATAGGGTCTTCACTGATCTCCCCACTTCCACCTTTGCCCGCCGTGGGACTTCCTGTTCAGCCCTGGTTTTCCAGTGGCTTCCATCACATTCAGAAGACTTGGGCTGACAAAGCCCATACCAGGCCTGGTCCCCTGACCTCTGGCCTCACCTCCTCCAACCCTCCCCCGGGTCACACCACCCCAGCCAACCTTCTCTGCTGTTTTTCAGACGCACAGGGCCCACTGCAGGCTCGGGTCTTTGAACTACTTGTGCCCTCCGCGTGCTCCCTGACGTTGTATGTGTGGCTTTTTACTTTAAAGACTGCACTGTCGGGCTAAACTGACACATTGCTACAGAGACTTCTTTCCTGAAGTCAGGCCTCACAGAGGTCCAGAGTTTTTAGTGTGAACTGTTCAACTTTGTTTAAAGGAGTCGAGTGTGTCTGTGGCTAATACAGAGCTGACTTGCTCTAACACCAGAGATCACTTACCGTCTTAACAATCCCTCCCGACTCCTCACTGATAACCAGTGACAAGGAATGTTGTAATTCTTTTTTAAATATCTTGGGGATGATGGGTGGAAATTTCACTGTCACATTAATGAGGTCTATAAAGCCAGCAATCTCAAATTCTGGTGGTTCAAAATACACTGTCAGAAAGCAAAGTGAGAAACAAATCCATCAGCCAATGATCGCATAACAACGCCTCCCACTGTCAGGATACAACCTTACTGCTTTTGAAGAAGCATTATTTTAAATCTGCCTGTGACTCCAAGGGTAGCATGTGCCATTTTAATTTTAGTGGTGAGAAACAGAACAGTAGAAGTGAAGTGGCTTGGTTAGCGGTGCCACAGCAAACCAGGAAAGGTTCTGACAGGGCGTGGTAATTTGGCTGCACCAGGGTTTAACGGAGTCGCTGATGTGAACACTCAGATCGTCTCTAACTTTTCTGAATAGAATCCATGTACCTCAAATCTTTAAACTAAAAAACTTACTTAAAAAATCAACACATCATCGAGTATTCTTGGGGCTAAATTTTTCCACTTGTCCTTAACAATTTCTTCAGGATAGATTACTAGAGCGCAATTCTGGATGTGATCAAGTCCACACTAAGGTTTCAACACCCACTGCTCAGTTCCTTCAGAGGAGTTGGCCTGAGTAAGCTCACTCTCCTCCCTCTACACCTGGCTCTTCATGCCTTTTTTTTTTTTTTTTTTTTTTTTTTTACTTTTTTTGACAGGCAGAGTGGAGAGAGAGAGAGATAGAGACAGACAGAAAGATCTTCCTTTTTGTTGTTAGTTCACCCTCCAATGGCCGCCGCGGCCGGCGCACCACGCTAATCTGATGGCAGGAGCCAGGTGCTTCTCCTGGTCTCCCATGGGGTGCAGGGCCCAAGCACTTGGGCCATCCTCCACTGCACTCCCGGGCCACAGCAGAGAGCTGGCCTGGAAGAGGGGCAACCGGGACAGAATCCGGTGCCCCAACTGGGACTAGAACCTGGTGTGCCGGCGCCGCAAGGTGGAGGATTATCCTAGTGAGCCGCGGCGCCGGCTTCTTCACGCATTTTTAGTTTCCAGCGAATCATGGGAAATATCTCATTACTTTAATGAAACAAATATCATGATCTATAAATTATGCTCTTTGTGTATACACATGTAAGTCTATTTACACACAGATACACAAAATTCCAGCAATCTCATAAGTATCTAAATCATTGGCCACAGTGGGATTCAGCTGTCACTTTGCTGAGGACATATGGGCCTGTGCACACCCACATAGCCTATGACAAGGAGCTGAAGCAGAACTGTTCTTTTGGAAACAGGATGCAAATTGGGACAAGGGAAAGGTAAGGGAGCTGGAACTGTTACCACAGTGTCTCAGGGAGCTGAATCCAGGCCCAGGGGAAGAAAGATGGGGCACTTCCAGGAGCCCGCCACTGTGGTACAGTGTTAGCCATTGCTTGGGATGCTGGCGTCTCGTCCCTGTTGGAGTGCTGGCTGAGTTCTGGCTCTCAGCTTCTGATCCAGCTCCCTGCTAATGCACCTGCAAAGGCAGATGATGGCCCAAGTACTCGTGCCCCCGCCACCCACGTGGTAGACCAGGATGGAGCTCCTGGCTCCTGTCTTTAGCCTGGCCCAGCCCTAGCTGTTTCAGCCATTTGGGAAGTGAACTAGCAGACGGAAGATCTCTCTGTCTCTTCTCTCTCTGTTGTTTTGCCTTTCAAATAAATAAATAAATAAATAAATCTTTAAAACAAAACAAAAAGAAGAGGTAGCTCCACTCCTGGGCACCAGTCTTCTCGTCTGAGCTTTAGACGTAGGTGGATGCACAGCCAGTGTTCATGTTCACTTGTGTAAGAGCTATGGGGTTACCCCTCAGCGAGGGGGAGGGGAAGAGGCTGGGGGGAAGGGGGGGTGGGGTGGGTGGAGCTCCCTACATCCTGTCAAGCCCTGAAAGGAACAGAAAAATCGCAACTACTGCCCACATGGTGAACTTATTCAGGCACTGGGCAGTCATCTGCACGGTACAGATTATGGTTCCACTTTTCACAACAGAAAACTGAAGCTCAGAGCCGCGAGGACTAAGGCAGTTCCAAAGCTAGGGAGAGGCACAGCCAGGGGCGAGCCCCACGCTCGGAGTCTGAAACCTTCCTATCTCTGATGTTCTTGATCACGGTGACCAAGTCGAAAAGCAGAGGCCAACTCACTGTCTGCTGACGTGAAGATGTCCGAGCAGTTATCCAACGCGGAGCTGCCCCTGAATCCTTCCAGCAGGAACAGGTAGTTCTCGTGGATGTCCTCCAACACGTCCATGACGTCACAAGACGGTCTCGTGATGTTTGTACAGCCTTCCACTATCTTCATAGTGTCTAGTTTACTTCAGAATGCAAAGAAAGGGAAAAAGGAGGACACTGGCGTTCAGGTCCTAAGAACCCGTTTTCGGTGCACCTCACCTCCTCACTCCTTTAGAGCTGTGCCCCAGCGTCACTGTGTCACCTCACCTTCCCCACCACCTCATCTGAACGCAGCCCCTTCCACCCTCCCCGCCCTGCAGGCTCCACCCCTCTTAGCTTCCTTTGTTTCACTCTAGTGTTGCCCTCCACCTGCCACAGGGGGTCTTCATTTGTTTAATGAGGTCTCTGCCTGCTCTGGAAGGCAGGGACTTTGGTCTATGTTTGGACGCCCTGGCATGTACTAAGTGCCAGTAAATATTTGCCGGATGAATGAAGCAATGGTCAAACCTTGGGCTCTTATGGATGAGGTCCCAGTTCTACGGGTCCCCACAGGACAATCGCGAATACCTTCTCTGAAACCCTGTTCCTCTCTGGGGAAGACCACACAGTCCAGGCCCAAGTCAGCCCTGTGCCATTTTCATTGATCGAGCTTCAGAAAAGTAGGTGAGGGGCCGGTGCTGTGGCAAAGCAGGTAAAGCCACTGCCTGCAGTGCCGGCATCCCATATGGGTGCTGGTTCGAGTCCTGGCTGCTCCACTTCCCACCCAGCTCTCTGCTGTGGCCTGAAAAGCAGTGGAGGATGGCCCAATTCCGTGGGCCCCTGCCCCTGCATGGGAGACCTGTAAGCAGTTCCTGGCTCCTGACTTTGGGTCAGTGCAGCTCCGGCCGTCGCGGCCAACTGGGGAGTGAAGCAGCGGATAGAAGACCTCTCTCTCTGCCTCTCCTTCTCTCTCTGTATAACACTGACGTTCAAATAAATTAAATAAATCTTTAAAAAAAAAAAAAAAAGAAAGTAGGTGAGTGAGATGAGCGACTGCACAGTGCAGAAGGCAAGTTCAAGACAGCCGCCAGCCAGATAAACAACCAACGGAGGGGCTCTCCGAGAGGCTGCTGGGTCAAAGCAACGGCTTAGGAGTGTGGCGGCTCCACCCATCACATCATTAATCTTTGCAACAGCCCCTAAGCAGAGGCCCAGGTCTATCAAGTGGTGACCTGCTCAGTGACTAAACTAGACTTTGCACCCAGATTTGCCCTAGGCTAAGCTAGGTAGCCTCAAAGTGAACATACACCATTGACATGGTCAACAGATCCTTGACTTTTAGAAAACATTCAGACTGATTAAATTAGATAAGTCATCGCAGGAACCATACACAGAAATGATTCTTTTTATGAAGCTCTGACCTGTAGAAACTGACTCTGATTATAAATACAAGCTTTGTCAAAAAATAGCTTTGGACTATTAAAGTACTCCATTTAACTAGAAACAGATGGTGTCTTCTCTTTGGCCTTTTAATATTGTGAATAAAAATCTGAGAGCAAGAGCAAAAGAAAGTAAGTTCCCGTAGTAGAAAGATATATATTTAGCCAAAAAAAAAAAAAAAAAAAAAAAAAGCCAACCAACCTCATAATTGTGTGCTGTACTTTGTAGTAAGTTGGTACAATGGGATGGTTTTTTAATTTCCATGATAAAATTGGCCGCAGACTTCGTAACGTCATGTTAAAAACACAAGGTTGATCTGTGAAATCTAAAGGCAGGAGAGGGTGGTGGTGGAGAAAAGCATTGAAATGTGGAGCCCAGGTTGTCTTCCAGCCACTGTTGAACCTAGGCCTTGGGATTTAGGGCCCACACCTCCAACAGTGAAGCCCTCCGGCCAGCTCTGGGGTCTTGAAACACAAGAAGTCGACTGGATGTAGGAAGTGAGTTAATATAGCTTATTAATGAGCAACACACGTTCAAGGCAGCAAGGTCAGGAAACAGGAACTCAGCACTGAGTGACCAGGATCTGCACAGAAGGGTTTTTCTGATTATCAGTGATTTTATGTGAATCATTGACCAGAATAGTCCAGTCATCCTGGGCCACATGGTGTGTGCACCCCCCCCCATCCCTGTCCCGTCCTCCCGCACAGCCCTGGCTCCTCCATCAGGTCCTCCGTAAGCAGCTCTGCCCACTGCAGGCTGCTCTTGTCCTGGAGTCTCTGCTGCACTTACTCCCTGTCAGAGAGGAGAGGAGCATATCTGCACTCAGCCTGGCCCCTGTAGGCAGATAAGGCCCGCAACAATGCTCAAGTAAGTGCCCATTTTACAGATGGGAAGACTGAATTTGTTATACAGTGTTATGCAGCTGGGCAGTGGCAATGGCAGATGAGAGTCTAAAGCTATTATTTGTCAAGTCTTGCCTTATATAGTTAATTTTTTAAAGATCATCTGAGTTTCCTGTAATTAGGGTTCAGACTTTTGTGGTTTTTAACTCTACATCGCCTGGTGTTTTAGCACAAGGTCAGACATTATTGAACGCTTAGTGAAGATTCGTGACAAATTCATATAAGTAGATAAGAAGTTTAGTTTACAGAAATGATTTTCCTCTATCTGGAACCGACAAATGAAGAATGCAAATGAAATGGAAAGTACTTCTGGGTCAATTTTTTGTTTGGTATAACTGGGGTCCCTCATTCATCCGTTAGTAAGAATATTGAGTTTGAATATTCTTTCAAGGAGTTTTCAAATGATTTCTAGTGCTAATCTCTAGTAATAGTATTGAGAGACAAATGTGAAAACTAGAGTCCTAACTTTTGCCCCTTCCACAGATTCCAATAAAATCGACAACAGATTTGGGATTAGAAACCGAATGGTCACCTCAACAGTTTGATCCTTACTCAAAATTTAGTCAAACCCCAAAAATCTCTTACCAAGCCAAGCATGTGAAATCCCAAACACCAGGCTGATGCACACTAGGAAGAAGAAAAACATGTTAGGGAAGCAACCAAGTTTCTCTGGGCTCAACTTACAGATATCCCCCTAAGCTTGAGGGTCTTCTACACACACGTATTCAGACTGCATTCAAACTTTCCTGTGCTTGCTAAAAAATAAAATGCTGGGGCGTGGGTGTTTGACCTAGTGTTTGAGATGTTGCCTGGGATGCCCGCATCCCACACTGGAGTTCCTGGGTTTGAGTCCAGCTCTGGCTTCTGACGCCAGCTTGCCACTCATGTACCCTGAGAGACAGAGGTGATGGCTCCAGTACTGTGTCCCCACACCACACAGGACACCGAGACTGAGTTCTTGGTTCTTGGTTTCAGGATAGCCCAGCACAGACTGTTGTGGGCATTTGCGGGATAAATCAGCAGATGGGAGCTGTCTGACCCACAACATATGGTCCAAGGACTGCATCCAGACTTTACCCAAAATAAGGTCCATGTGGGATCTGACACTAACAACAGGGGCTGTGCTGGTCGAGGGTATAGCCTGAGAAGCAGTTATCTATCTGGAAAATTTCACCAAATATGAATAAGTATGTTGCTAATTAGCCAGTTTTAAAGGTAAAGACATTCACTAAAGGTGGAAGAGGCAGAAAAGGCGTTTGTGATGGAAACTGGTGAGTCTCAACTTGGGGGGCCCTTGTTGTCTGGATGTCACAGGGACTCCAGGGGGATTGGGATTACCAGCATTTTAGTGGGGGAGAGCAAGGATGCTATCTATCCATTATCAAGTGCATACACCGTGCTGTACCCAGAGAACTGCCCCTCTACGGATCCCCTACTGCTAGACTGCGGAAAAGATGACATAGCGACATGGAAGTAGGATCAGTAGGAGGATACTGAAAAGGCACTGATCAATAGGACTGGAAGGAAAAAAATTGGGAACAGAAGCCAAAGTTCAGAGATGACTCTTCAGTCTGATGGACGTGGTAGGTGATAAGGAACTTGGTCTTTTCCCAAACAAAAGAATGGAGGCCGGCGCTGTGGCATAGTGGGTAAAGCTGCTGCCTGCGGTGCCAGCATCCTGTATGAGTGCCTGTTCGAGTCCTGACTGCTCTACTTGTAATCCAGCTCTCTGCTATGACCTGGGAAAGTCGTAGAAGATGGCCCAAGTCCTTGAGTCCCTGCACCCGCGTGGGAGACCCGGAGGAAGCTCCCGACTCCTGGCTTCAGATCAATCCAGTTCTGGCCGTTGGGGCCATTTGGGGAGTGAACCAGCGGATGGAAGACTCTTCTCTCTTTCTTTGCCTCTGCCTTTTAAATAAATAAATAAATCTTAAAAAAAAAAAAGGCAAGAATAGGATTACATACAAGGTATTCCTCATCTTATACTGAGTTTTACGTCCTTCTTGTTTGTTTTCCTAAGAGTAACAATAGGGCAGAAAACTATGGACTCCAAACTATTCCTGCAGGCTCCTGTCTAGTTTACATTTGACTTCTGACTCCAGGCAAGCTGCTCTTGGGTTTGCAGGGCTCTTGGTGATAAGGACATCACAGGTTCTTCCCTGTAGGAGTCCGGTTAAAACACTTACCCAATAGATGCAAATGAAGGGATCTGACAGCCGAGGCATTTGGGCTCCAAAACATCTTTCTTTGTTGTTTTTTTAAGTCCTTTGTTTAGTTCATACCTGAAAGGAATTCAGTATTAAGCAAGCAAAATTCTGGTGTGTAAATTGTGAAGATAAGAATGGAGACAAAGTCACAGCAAGAGGCCACCAAGATAGATAAATCCTTGGCTCCAGCCTTCCTCTACCCTCCCGGGGTAGCCTTCTTCAGCTTCTCAAACCAACCTCTCCCCTAGCCAGGGGGAGGTTAAAAAAAAAAAAAGATTTATTGGGGCTGGTGCTGTGGCATAGTGAGTTAAGCCTCTGCCTGCGGCGCCAGCATCCCATACCGCCAGCATCCCATACCGGCGCCGGTTCCTGTCCTGGCTGCTCCACTTGCATTCCAGTCCCTGCTACTGGCCTGGGAAAGCAGTGCAAGATGACCCAAATGCTTGGGTCCCTGCACCCAAGTGAGAGACCCAGAAGAAGCTCTTGGCTCCTGGCATTGGATGGGCCCAGCTCCAGCTGTTGCAGCCATTTGGGGAGTGAACCACCAAATGGAAGACCTCTCTCTCTGTCTGTGACTCTGCCTCGCAAATAAATAAATCTTGTTTTTAAAGAAAAAAAATTTTAAAGATTTTATTTGAAAGGCAGAATTACAGAGAGGGAGGGAGGGAGGGAATCTTCCATCAGCTGGTTTAGTCCTCAAATGGCCACAATGGCAGGGGATGGGCCAGGTGGAAACTAGGAGCCTGGAACTCCATCTGGGTCTCCCTCATGGGTGGCAGGGCCCTAGCACTCAGGCCATCTGCTGCTGCTTTCCCAGACACATTAGCAGGGAGCTGGATGAGAAGTGGAGCAGCTGGGACTTGAACCATTATGGATGCCAGTGTTGCAGGAGGCAGCTTAACCTTCTGGGCTACAATGCTATTCTTCAGGGAGAAATTTTAAACTTAACTTTTAAACAGGTAACAGTCATTTGGGTCACAATTTTAAACATACAAAATCCAAGTGAGAAATCTTGCTCCTTTAAGAAAATGACTTTGAAAAAAAATTTTTTTTTGGTAGATTTATTTATTTACTTGAGGGACAGAGTTACAGAAAGAGAGCAGGAGAAACAGAGAGATATCTTCCATCCACTGGTTCACTCTTCACATGGCCATAATGACCGGAGCTGGACCTGTCCAAGGCCAGGAACCAGGAGCTTCTTCCAGGTCTCCCATGTGGGTGCAGGGGCCCAACGACTTGGGCCATCTTCTGCTGCTTTCCCAGGTCACAGCAGAGAGCTGGATCAGAAGTGGAGCAGTCAGAACTCAAACCAGTGCCCATACAGGATACAGGCGCCACAGGCAAATGCCTAAATTCTCTGGCACAGCACCAGCCCCCATGACTTTCTGTTTTTGCAAATCCTTCAGAATGTCTTTATACATAAGAAAAAAATAAACACAGCTTCTCATTTCCCCCCTTTTAGACAACAAATATGAGATAGCACAGATGGCCCCTGTTCTACCTTGATTTTTCCATTAAAATATATTTTGGGAAATCCCTCCGCCAAGGAGAATTTGTGTTGTCAAATAGTTCTAACAGGGGCCAGTGCTGTGGCTTAGCAGGTAAAGCCGCTGCCTGCAGTGCTGGCATCCCATATGGACGCCAGTTCGAGTCCCGGCTGCTCCACTTCCAATCCAGCTCTCTACTACGGCCTAGGAAAGCAGTAGACGATGGCCCAAGTCCTTGGGCCCCTGCACCCACGTGGAAGACCTGGAAGAATCTCCAGGCTCCTGGCTTTGGATCAGCCCAGCTCCTGCAGTTGTGGCCATCTGGGGAGTGAACCAGTGGATGAAGCTCTCTCTCTCTGTCTGTCTCTCTCTGCCTCTATCTCTGCCTCTGTAATTCTGCCTTTCAACCAAATACATAAATCTTAAAAAAAAAAAAAAACAGTCATAACATTCTCATCTATGGACAGCCACCACTGACATAACTAATCCCCAGTGGATTGCAACTGAACTAGCTCCCATCTCCTCTGGAAGGTCTTCTCCTGGACAGGCATCATTTTGCACAGCTGCAAGTCTACGCCTAGGACATTTCCAGGCAGGGTATTGCTGTGGCTTCGACATGTGCCCCGAGGTTCGCTGTCGGAAACCCAATCCTCAACACCAGTGTTAAGAAGTGCTGAGGTCGCGAGGACTCTGCTCCCAGGAATGGATTAATGCTGTCACTGTGGGAGACAGAGTGTTTGCTATAAAAGCTGGCTTGGTCCACTCGAACATACGTGCTCTCTCGCCCATGGCCTTCCACCAGGGTGTGGAGGCGGGGAAGGCCCTCACTGGACCTGGCCCTCTGATCTTTGAGTTCTCAGCTGCCACCAGAATTGTGGGCCAAATACATTTCTGTTCATTACAGATGAACGTGGTATTCTGTTATAGCAGCACTAAGTGGACTAAGGCATCAGAGTCCCAGCAAGAAATTGCACATTCAAATTAGATTTTGAGGTAGACTTTTAACAGAGCAACTGAGGTAGGCAAACCATAGGCAGCATGTAGTACCTTGGGCAAACACCAGTCGGTGCTGTTACCACTCTGAGTGTGAAGGGAAAACAAGAAAGGAGAGAGTGCTGGGATTTGGAAGAAGAATCCTGTAAGAGGAGCTAAGACGTGAGGACAAATGCCACAGTCAGGCTAAGGTGACTGGACAGGGCGGCGGAGGAATAAATTCCCTTCATTGTCTCCCTCCTTTCTCTTACTTGGGGCTGCCCCCACTTGCTGAAACCAGTGTGAAACCGTAGGGCAAGGGGAGTGGGGTTGTGTTCTTCTGAGACAGGATCCCATGGCAAGGTCAAGGGTGGAGAAAGGGTAGAAAGTGGGCCTGGAGGGGCAGATGGAGAACTCCAGCAGGCAGGGCCACGTGGCTGTAATTCTGATAGAAGTAGTGCTTCTGCCTGTCCCCGGGGCTGTGCCCAATTACATAACCACCTACATCCACATCAAGTGAGACTTTCTGCTTTCTAGCTCTTGGATGTTTTTCCAATTCATAAGTGAAGCACTGTCATCACGCTAATTTCAGTTACAGTTCTTACTCTAGGTGAGATGCAGCATCTTTTACAAGAACTGCCTGCGTTTCCTTTCCTCTGTCTGTTCCTTCCTTGGCCCAATTTTCTATGAAGTTGTTGTTCTCTTATTGGTTTGCAGATGCTTTTTTTTTTTTAAGTGTGAAGGAAACTGGCCCTTTGTGTTATGAATCACATCTTTTCTTCTCCCTCATCTGTCTCTTGCCCCTTGATTTGCTTGTGCTTTTATTTTTAAACCTTCCAGAAGTTGCTGAGTTTCAGGTTTTAGATTAAAAAGTATTTTCTTTTTCAGCATATCTGAATTCTGAGTTGCAGTTAGAAAGCCTGCCCTACTCTCTTATTCACCTGAAAGACATAGTTACAGAGAGAGGCAGAGAGAGAGAGAGAGAGAGAGGTCTTTCATCTGATGGTTTACTCCCCATCATTTGGCTGCAGCGGCTGGAGCTGAGCTGATCCGAAACCAGGATCCTGGAGCTTCTTCTGGGTCTCCCACACAGGTGCAGGGGCCCAAGCACTTGGGCCATCTTTTACTGTTCTCCCAGGTGCATGAACAGGGAGCTGGATCTGAAGTGGACCAGCCAGGACGTGGACCAGCGCCCATATATGGGATTCTAGCACTGCAGGCCGGGGTTTTAAACCTCTGCGCCACAGCACCGGGCTCTAGCCTGCCCTACTCTTAAGATGAGAAAGGACTCTTTAAGAAATGAAAGGAGCCCCAGCATGTCTTCGTTCATTTTCTCCCTCCATCTTTCGTCCCCACACAGATGACAAAGCCCTGTTGATTCTAGAATTCTTCTGCACCTCAAACACCGGGTGGTCTAAGGCCCCATGCCCATAGGGGAAAAAAAAAAAAAAGATCGTGATATAGCTGATTGAGCTCAAGCCAAAAACAACTGCATTTCTTTAAAGTCCCAGGCAGATATTCTAGAGAAATCCAAGCAGCTCCAAGTCAACATTTCCATCCCAGCGGCATCCCACCGATGAGACACTGAGACACCTTCGCCCACAGCTTACCCCGTTGCACTGTGCCCATTTAGAAACATCTGCTAGGATACCTTTGTGATGGATGCAACGCCAGTCCCCGACATCACTTCGTGGTGGGTGAGGCCCATGGCTGTGACACTGGGCACACCTAGATTGCTGATGTCACATCTGATCCAACTCCCTTCATTCAAATGCCCAACCTGAGGCCTCTAGTCTCTCCCCTTTTTTTCTGCTGACAGCCCATATTCATTTCTGTTATGTATCCATAGCAATCAATATTCAGTCTCTAGGGACAAACTTCTAACACACAGGTTCTACTTTCCTACCCTACACCAGGAATGCCTCTTCCTCTTGTTTTGTTCCTGGTGACCCAAACTCTACTCTGAACTGTATGTCTGATAAATAGATTCTTGTTTATTTGCAAAATCTAATTTTGAGTCTTGCCCTCTAGCCCAAATTGTGTGTTTTTTTTTTTTAAAGATTTATTTATTTATTTGAAAGTCAGAGTTAAACACAGAGAGGAGAGGCAGAGAAAGAAAGGGCTTCCATCGCTGGTTTACTCCCCAAATGGCTGCAACAGCCAGAGCTGGGACAATCCAAAGCTAGGAGCCAGAAGCTTCTTCCAGGTCTCCCACGTGGGTGCAGGGGCCCAAGCAGAGAGCTGGATCGGAAGTGGAGCAGCTGGGACTTGAACCAGCAACCATATGGGATGCTGGCACTGCAGGCGGCAGCTTTACTGGCCCCCCGAATTGTTTTTTAACTTGAAAAATATTTTTTATTTATTTCAAAGGGCAGAGAGACAAACACAAAAGGATCTGCCGTTTGTTGATTTACTCCCCAGATGTGGCAACAGCTGGCACTGCTGTGTGGGTGGAAAGGTGTCTATTAGCAGGTTATATTAGCAGGCAGCTGGAATAGGGAGAGGGGCTAGGACTCAAACCCAGGCACTCTCATACAGGGTGCGGGTATTCCAAGTGGAGTCTTAACCACTTCAGGGAATGCCTGCCCCTCCTGCCTGAACTGTTAACAGAGCCCCTTAGAACTCCCCCTGACTACCAATAGATCAGTCTCCCTCAAGCATGCCTAGTCTCATCTCCGCAGTGAGGGCCAGCCTCTACCCTCCAGGGCCCTACATGCAGAAGGGAGCATTGCTGGTTGAATGCGCTTCTGTGACTGCCTTGAAGTTCTTAGTGATTCTGTCTTTGCACTGGTGGCCTGTGAGTGGGGGGCTGATGGAACGGTGGGGCACAGGGCAGGGTGGGAGCCTCAGCTCACACACGCACTGCTCCTGTCCTCTGCAAGACATGCTCTCCACAGCTGAGTCCCTGCCGGGCCTCTCCCTGTGCCCCATGACTGCTGCCACCCTTGGCATGGGTGCCAACTGGGTGACACTGGCAGAGTCCCAATGTTTCTCTGAAGCCCTCCTGGCATGGGTGCTGGGGAGGTCAAGGTCAGGTACTCCAGCCCTGACCTGGCGGTGCTTGCCTCACTCAGGGCATGGCTGGCTGGACTCTGGGTCTGGAGGGGATGAGCTTGTAGGTCACCCTTGAGCCAGGCACCTAGCAATAAAGGTTTCAGGACCCTTGGCTGTGGCCTGTACACAGAGGGGTGGGATGGCAGGTCCCTGGGAAGAGAAGCGACTCAACTTTGCCACAGCCTGCCTCATACTGGATTGAGCAGCAGCTGCCAAGAGGGGGACTCCAGGCCCAAGTGTGTACACACCTACATTCACCAGGGCAGGGGGGCCCTGGCGACCTGGGGGGACCTGCATGGGCCCCCCAGCGGCATCACACCTGAGGGGGCTCTGTGCCTGGGGAAGACCTTTCTTCCTCTTTTACAACCTTCTTGAGTCCGGCTTAAGTTGGCTTCTTCTGGCTGGTTTGAGGGAACTTCCCAAGACTTGCTATAAAACACTAATTGTGGAATTCAGTGATTGCACATATGCATTAAACACTTTTACTTGCAATTAAATCTGACTTTGCAAAAGCAAGTACTGTAAAATCCATGCTGATGACTTGCTTTACTTAGAATGACTTTAAATAGCAAACAAAAAACAAGGAAAGATCACGGGGAAAAGGTGTATATTTTAGTACCTTTAGTAACTTCTCCCCGCTTCTTAAATGAGTGGGCCCTGCATTTTTATTTGCTCTGGGTGCACTGTACAAATTATACAGCCAGTCCAGGCTGGAGCACACTGCTGCCCGACAATACCCAAGCTCCTCGGGGTGAACTCAAGGCCATCATCAGCTTTCTGCTTTGCCCTGGGGCTCCAGGCGACAGATCACCCCCTTTGCTGCCCCCCACCTAGGTCTACCCTGGAGCTGGCCTTCCCACTCACGCTCACATGAACACCCTCAGTTGTCAAGGCCCAGCTCAAATGCATGACGCTGCCTGGGGGAAATGACTCCTCTTGTTAGAATCTATTAGGCCACTGAGGCCTGACAGGACCCTGAACCCCCAGGCCTGATGAAACTGGTCACAGGCAGAGAATCTAAAGGCTAGTGCAGTGTTGACTGCTCTGCAAAGCCCTGTACCTGGGACATGCCAAACTGCTAGGACAATGCACTGTAGACTTCACCAGGGACATGTCCCCCACCCACTTAGCAGGTCAACAAGCCACCTAAGAAGGGACTCTGCCTGCTGCTAGCCCCTGCTCTCTCTGGGTAGCCTCAACCCAGACACTCTCTTTACCCACCACGTATGTCCCTAAAATATAAAGTCCTTTCTACTTTAACTGGCTGCCTCCTTGCCTTCTTTGAACTCAAAAATCCCCAAAACTAACCCTTCTCAGATTCCAACTCCTCCTGGACAAACAACCTTCAAGAGACACATTGCTTCACATTCTCCCAGGAAATAGTACAATTGTGTCTTTCCTTCCACCTGGCGCAGCCTGATGCCTGGCACACGGCTAGGCAATCGATGTATAAGGAATGAACCGGATTCAGAAACACAGGTACTCGGATGAGTGTTTGGTGCAGGGGACATCCATGTCCCGTATCAGAGAGCCTAGGGTCCAGTCCTGGCACCACTCCCGATTCAGCTTCCTGCTAATTCCTGCTAATTCGTACTCCAGGGAGATCAAGTAGTTGGAATCCCTGCCGCTCATTTGGGACAACGGGATCAAATTTCCAGTTCCTGGCTTTGGCCTGACCCAGCCCTGGCCACGGCAGGCATTTGGAGAGTGAACCAGTGCATGGGACATCTCTGTCTCTGTCCCCACACCTCTCCCTCCCACTCTCACTCTCTGCCTTTCAAATAAACAAAAGTAAAATACATGGATATACATATGATTACATAACTTATCCTCGAAATTAAAAAAATACAAAAAAGTACAAAGAAGACAGTAACAATCATCCTTATTTCTACCATCTAGTACCAAACAGTACTAACATCTTGTTATATTTCTCGTTTATTTTTCAACTATCTTTCTTGCTTTTTTGTAAACATCCCTCCAATTTATTTCTTCTGCAATTGTGTTTTTATGATTTCTTTGGTCTACAATCGCTTTTAAATCTCTTATTTTGCAATTTTCTCATTTTTGGGCTTACTTTGTTGAATTCAAATTTTTATGAAGTTGTAGGTCTAAGGCAATCATAAGATTCTGTTCGAAGAGCCACACAAACACACACACACACACACACACACACACCCCTTTAGCAGGGCTCCTTGCAAGCTCCCTTGTCCCTTTCCCCGTCTCTCCCCAGGGGCAGGGAGGGTCTCAGGGCCTCCGATGCCAGCCCCAGCCCCTCCCTCCAGCCTCTGACGCCTCGCTCGGCCAGGTTACTTTAGGTTGTGTGGAGACAAATACTGAAACAGAAAGGAAGTAGGATGCCCAGGTTCTCAACCAGGCCATCGCTAGCCAAATACAGGGGTGGACAGAGCCTCCGCCTCACTCCGGCACGTTCTGATGGACCCGCTTGGGGTTGAAACGCGGGCGCCCAAGGTCTCCTAGCGCCCGGAGAGCATCTGTGCCGCACCTCACTCACCCCGACCCGCCACGGTCCCCCCACCCCCACCCCGGGTCTCCAGGCTGCGTCCCCGCGCCCCTTCCCCCAACGCCGGCCGCCAAGCCGAGGATCTAAGGGCGCAGGGCGCTCCGCGGCGACCGCTCCCGGGGGACAAGGCATGCTTAATCCTGGGGGTCTCCCGGGGCGCGGGGCCGGAGACCCCGAAGCCGAGGCCTGACGGGGTACCCGGGTTTTGCAAGGCGGGGTGGGTTTTAAGGAATCTGACCCTCCAGCTTCATCACGACGCCCACCTGGAGGTGACAAATGCCCGATGACCCTCCCAGGCATTCTTGGCGAGGTGCCAGGGGCAGCAGGGAGACCTGGACTCCCAGAAAGCCCGCCCCGCCCCAGCAGGATGATGAATGAACGGGGACCGCCCGCGGCGCCCCACAACAGCTAGAAGGCTGCGGGGTCTCCGAGGGTCGCGCAGGGGCCAGGGGCCCAGGACGCGGGGAGGGCAGCCTCCGGACGAGAGGGGTTGGAGGGGATTCCGGGAGCCGGCCGCGAGGGGCGGGGGCGCGCACCCCACCTCCGCCCCCGCCACGTCCCCTCACCTTGGCATGTCGCCGCACGATCCCCTCCGAGAGGCCAGCCTCGGGCCGCCTGCAGCCGGGCCCTGCGGCCGGGAGGCGCGCTCCCGGCGGCCTCTTCGGCCGCGGCGCGGGTCCGCGTGAGACAAAGGAGGGCGCAGCCAGAGAGTGACCGCCGACCGGGCTCCGGCGGGCAGGAAGGGCAGGACTTGCAAAGTGAGCGCGCTCGCGGAGCGCAGGCCGAGCTTGGCAGAGAGAAAGCTGGCGACCGGACCGGCCGCGCCGGCCGAGGGGCGGGACCCGGGGGCGGGGCCTGGCGGAGGGAGGGGCCGAGAGCGCGCTGAGGGGCGGGACTAGAGGCGGGGCCGGGAGCAGCGCTGAGGGACGCGAGCGAGGGGCGGGGCCTGGCCGGCCGGGGTGAGGCCGGGGGCGGGGCGGGGCCGGGAGTGGCGCTGGGGGACGAGAGCGAGGGGCGGGGTCTGGCAGGCCGGGGCGGGGCCGGGGGCGGGGCCGGGGGCGGGGCGGGAATGCCGCCAGAGCTAATTATCTGGCATCTGCAGCCAGCTGGTGCTGCTCCTACCCAACCCGCTGCCTCAGCGAGGCAGGTGCAAGGGAGAAGGGACAATGGATTTGGGGCCGTATTGCTTACTGTAGTGCCTGGAACTTAGACGACACTCAAACTGTGTTGAAAGAAGGGCGGAGCGAGTGAAGGGGTTCTTCACGGTCTCCCCTACTTCTCGGTTATATGAACTGCTCGGATTGTAGTTTTCCGATCCAGAAAACGGAAGCCGTGAGCCTTAAAGACTTGAAACGGCCCCAGGCTCAGGCTCAGGCTCAGTAAATGGTGCGAGTGCCGCCTCCCTCACGTCTTCCTTCGCACTCCCGTGGCTGGTCCACTCGCTGACCGGTCCACTCGCTGACCGCTGGTTTCCGAGGTTCCGGAACCCGAAAACCCTGCATGAGCTTGCTTCCCCAGGATACGTCCCCCGTCAACGTGCAACGCTTTCTGGGAAAAGTGTGTATGTACTCTGAACGTTAAGCTACTACACTGCAAATGGTAAAATCATTTTGGATAAGAAGGGGAAAAAATACACTCGCCACCCAGGTTATTTTAGTGGAGCTACCCACTTTTTGTTTTCCGTTTTCTGGCCTCGGAGGAAACTGAGGACGAGGGCGGTTTTTTTTTTTTTAAAGATTTTTTATTTATTTATTTGACAGGTAGAGTTACAGTGAGAGAGAGAGACAGAGAGAAAGGTCTTCCTTCCGTTGGTTCACTCCCCAAATGGCCTCCACGGTCGGTTGGCGCTGCGCTGATCCAAAGCCAGGAGCCAGGTGCCTCCTCCTGGTCTCCCATGCGGGTGCAGGGCCCAAGGATCTGGGCCATCCTCCACTGCTCTCCTGGGCCACAGCAGAGAGCTGGACTGGAAGAGGAGCAGCCGGGACTAGAACCAGCGCCCAAATGGGATGCCGGCGCCACAGGCGGAGGATTAACCTAGTGAGCCATGGCACCGGCCCCAGAGGGTGTTTCTTACTTCTTGTAAACTGGGGGAAAGAAGGGACATTTCCATCCATGAAGTCAGCTAAACATTCGCTGGTCCCCCTTTGTGCGCTGGGCACCGGGGTGCACACGGAGGAAGCCACCGCCCTAATTCGCCTGTTGCCCTCCGCAGGGTTCCCACCAGCAGGAGGTGGGAAGGGAACTCACCCAGCATCCTGTGAGTTGCAAACGACATTCAGCGTTGAAAATGTTTTCAGCCACTGCTGTTGAGAAATGGCCGAAATCTCCACTGAACATGGGAGAAAGAGCCCATCTTCACAGGACTCCATGCACTACATGCACGCTTTTACATAAATATATATAAAAATAGAAATGTATCAATACGTTAAGTGTGATCAGTTGCAGCTTGGACAATGATGGGTGATTTTTCTTTTTCCTTTCCAGATGTTTTGCAAAATGAATTTTCACTTGGATGATCAGGAGAAAGCTTGAAAAAAAAATGCTGTTCACCCTAAGATATGAAGAGCTCGGAAGTCATCACTCCATCCCTCCCCCAACCCCAGTAACAGAAAAGCTGCACAAACTGAGAACCAACCACTCTTCCTTGATCTCTCCCTGAACTGAGTCACAGGGAAACTGTAGCCCCAGTAAATGGAGTGACGGGCAGGTGCGAGAACCACATTTGGCTGGGACCAGCAGCCTCCAAGACAACAAGAAAACTTAAAATGTAATCGATTAGTTTCTGGAGGCTGAGCCCGGACTAGATTAAGGGATAAAAATAAATCTTTTTGTTTAAAAAAAAAAAAAAAGAGAGAGGAGATAAGACTCCTGAGGGCAGGTGGTGGTGGCATTGTGGTGCGGCCAGTTAAGGGTAGGTGCCTGCATCCCAGCTCCGGTCCCTGCTGCCCCACTTCCTGTCCACCTTCCTGCTAACACACCTGGGAAAGCAGCAGAAGATGGCCCAGGTGCTTGGGCCCCTGCACCCACCTCAGAGACATAGATGAAGTTCTAGGCTTCTGACTTCCGTCTGGGGAGTGAACCATCAGATGGAAGACCTCTCTCTCTCTCTCTCTCTGTAACTCTGCCTTTCAAATGAATGAATCAATCTCTAAATATTGAGTTTTACTGAGAAGCCCCATCAGGTTCTCATGATGACAGCCAGAGAAAAGTCCGCTCCTGCTTGGTCAAGGGGAAGGAAACAGCTATTCTCACATGTGCCCTGCGTGTTCAGTAACCAAAACCTGTCTTCAAGGGGAACTACTTTTCCAGAATGCGATCTGATCCCACAGAAGGGAACTTAAACAAGTTAGTTCACTCTAACCTTCTTGTCTACTTATGTGTGTATACGGGAAACAAAGACTAGGAAACTTCTCTGAAGGTCACAACGCATTGATTCAGGCTCGTTAAACAAACAAACAAACAAACAAACAAAAAACATGGGCCAGCCCTGTGGTATAGTAGGCTAAGCCTCTACCTGTGGCACCAGCATCCCATCTGGGTGCCAGTTCCTGTCCCAGCTGCTCCTCTTCTGATCCAGCTCTCTGCTTGTGGCCTGGGAATGCAGTGGAAGATGGCCAGAGTGCTTGGGCCCCTGCACCCACGTGGGAGATCCAGATGAAGCTCCTGGCTTTGGATTTGCCCAACTCCGGCCATTGTGGCCATTTAGGGAGTAAACCAGCGGATGGAAAGTCTCTTTTTCTCTATCTCTCCTTCCCTCTGTTAAATCTTACCTCTCAAATAAATAAATAAAAAAGCTTAAAAAAAACCAACCTGAGATTTCATCATAAGATTATAGAATGTTCCCCCACATAATACCTTACCACACATCATCAGCACTCCACTACAATAACAATGGATTACAATTGTATTTAAGAAGGCATTTCTAGGACATCCACTAGATGAGATTGAAGCCTGTGACACAGCTGTAGCCAACATTAAACAGTCTAACCATACGGCAGATGGAACGCCTCATACTAAGGACTATGCACCTCAGCTCCTCTTATCTGATCCATCAGGTTTAGCTTTCAACAAGAAATTGCAAGGCAGAGGCCAGTGTCATGGTGCAGGGACTTGAGCTGCCTCCTCTGACTCTGGCATCCCATATCAGAGCACCGGTTCAAGTCCCAGCTGCTCACTTCCTATCCAGCTCCCTGCTAATGAGTCTAGGAAAGCAGCAGAAGATGGACCAAGTACTTGGGTTCCTGCTCCCCAGGCTCCTGGCTTCAACCTAAACCAGCCATGCTGTTGTGGCCATTCAGGGAGTGAACCAGTGGGTGGAAGATCTCTTTTTTTTTTCTGTCTCTCCCCCTCCCTCTCTCTGTAATTCTGCCTTTCAAATAAATAGATCTCTCTCTCTTTTTTTTTTTTTTAATTACAAGGCATGTTAAAAGACAGGAAATAAAACACAATCTGAAGAGAAAAAGCAGGCTTAAGAATAAGACTCAGATATGGTAGAGAATTTGAAATTATCAGACTAGAAATTTAAATCAGCATCGGGTGAGTGTTTGGCACAGTACTTAAGATCCCACTTGGGGTTCAGCCTGTATGGGGTACCAGCTCCTCCACTTTCGGTTCAGCTTCCTGCTAATGCACACCCCAGGAGACAGCAGGTGGAGGCTCAAGTACTTGGGCCCCCGCCCAGATTGAGTTCTGGGCTCCTGACCTTAGTCTGGCCCTGCCCCAAGTATTGCAGGCATTTGGGAAATGAACCAGCAGATAGAAGATCTCTCTGTGCATCTTTAAAAAGATAAATTAGCATCATTAACATACCAAGGATTCTATGGTTTCCTAGATGGCTGATCTTTGTCCTGGTTCCTGACACAGTTTCTGAATCCCTGTTATTTCCCTCAATGACAGGGGTGATAGGAGCGTCTTTGGCTTCAATGAAGTGACCCTTGGTGGGCCCTTGGATAGCTTCAAGATGAGGGCTGGGCACCAGAAAGAGCAAGCTTTCTGAGAAATGAAGCCCACGCTTTTGACCGCAACCTACCAACCTCTGGGGGAAAGGAGAGAAGGAGAGGTGTTGGAGATTGAGCCAATAATCAGTTATGTCTGCCTGCCACTCTGACAGGCAGAGTGGACAGTGAGAGAGAAAGACAGAGAGAAAGGTCTTCCTTTTTGCCGTTGGTTCACCCTCCAATGGCCGCCGCCGCAGGCGTGCTGCGGCCGGCTCACCGTGCTGATCCGAAGGCAAGAGCCAGGTACTTATCCTTGTCTCCCATGGGGTGCAGGGCCCAAGCACTTGGGCCATCCTCCACTGCCTTCCCTGGCCACAGCAGAGAGCTGGCCTGGAAGAGGGGCAACCGGGACAGAATCCGGCGCCCCGACCGGGATTAGAACCTGGTGTGCTGGCGCCGCAAGGCGGAGGATTAGCCTAGTGAGCCGAGGCGCCGGCCAACAATGGAATTTGGAGAGCTTCTGGCTTGGTAAACACGTCCAGGTTCTGAAAGGGCGGTGCACCTGGAGAGGGGGTGGATGCGTTGTGCCTAAGTGAGTGCAAACAGAGGAGTACCACACATGGATAACATTGGATGGTCCTTTATTGCTGGTGGTGGAGAGCGGGCTCATGCCCTAAAGAACTCTCGACCCCAAAGCTCAAAGCAACAGGGTTTATAAAGGCAAAAACCACAAAATTGTGTGGGGAATGCATGACTGCTAGGATCAAGGGGGAATACGTGGTTACTGGGGTCACGCTGACCCAAAACCTACGCAAAACTAATATCAAGTATAATCTTAACAATACCAGTTACAATCTGAACAATATCAATTGTAATCTTGACATTAATCCAAGTATTGGCCTAAATCATATGTA